CGCACCCCCAGGGTAAAGACGAGAAGACCTGCTGCAGGCGCGCCACGGACGGTAGAAGACCGGAAGACCTGCCGCAGGCGCACCGCTGACGGAGGGGAACACCAGCTGGGAACATTCAGAGCTGCCACCGAAGGAAAAAAATGGCGGAGTGCTGTCCGGCGCCGCTCCTGCTGCCACGCACCCCTTGGGATCATCTCGTGCACCCCTGGGGTACGCGCACCCCAGTTTGGAGGCCACTGTTCTAAATGAGCTCTGTCCCCTTCTTGTGGCTTGGGTTAGACTTGACCCCCACTTCTCATGGTTCACACCACTTTGCAAGTGCAGGAACTCAGGACCACCCACTACTCCAGGTTTCAACTCTGGGATCCTATAAACAGCAGCCACATACTGCTCAGTTCAATTTGTTGCTTCTACTTTTCTGGGCCTCTTCTCACATGCCCCCTTTATTTTGACCCTCTTTTTCTGCAAACCCAGGTATGCAGTAAAGCCTGGCTAGTCCTCAGGTTCCTGTGGCCAGAGAGGCATACCCTTCCTTGCTTCTCTGGTCCCTGCAGCTCTTTTATATGAGCCCATTGAGCTGATTGGCTGATGCTAGCCCTTAGCCGAATGAGGACCAGGTCTCTGTAACCTGCCAGATGGCTGCCCCAGCAAGGCCTCTCTAGGCAGACCCCAGGAGCACCCACCTTTGCTGCTCCTTTCTACACTGCTCCTTGGGGCAGTGTGTAGCAGACCAGCAGGGCCTTCAGCAGGGGGCCAGGACAGCCTGATACACCATCTCTCTCTTGCACGCTCTCTTTCTATGCACTTTCAGTGACCCCTTGTTCAGTCAACCCCACTAACCCCACTGGGCCACTTACACAGCCCAGATGAGGCAGAGGAAACTTCTGGGCATGTAGATTTTAAAGGACTTAGAAATATCATCTGTTAAACAGTAAGCTAGGCTTGGTTTATGCTTAAAATTAGATTGACCCGGCTACATCCCTCAGTATGAAAAATTCACACCCCATAGTGAGGTAGTTAAGCTGATCTGACCCCTAATATAGACTCAGCTAGGTCAATGGAAGAATTCTTCCATCAAACTAGCTACAGCCTCTCGGCAAGGTGGATTAACTATAGGGATAGAAAAACCCCTTCTGTTGCTGTAGGAAGTGTCTGCACTATGTGACTACACACGGGTGCCAGCTTCTAATTTTTCCCAGGGGTGCTTAACTCCAGCCCTAGGCCCTGCCCCCCCTCAGCCCCCACCCCCAAGGCCCCACCTCCCTCTTCCCACTCCACCCCTTCCCCCCTTTCCACCCCGAGCTCACTCCATCCCCGCTCCTCCCCCTCCCTCCCAGCACCTTCTGTATGCCACTGAAGGATGCCAGTGTGTGCTAAGCACCCACTAATTTTTCTCCCTAGGTGCTCTAGCCCTGCAGCACTGTGGCGCCTGTAGTGTGGACATTGCCAGTCTCCGGCCATAGATGCGCTAGCAGTCCTTTACCCCGTATAGGAATATTGGTATGCTGTCCTGGCAAAGCATTCCTACTGTGGACAGAGCGATGCTGGCAAAGCTGGGTTTTGTAGCAGTATCGGAATCCCCTCCTCCCACAAACAAAACAAGCTCTAGCAGTAAAAGCTTAGCTTTGCCAGTGTACAGTATAATTGCCAGTGTAACACTGTTGAAAAAAATAAAATAAAAAGCAGACATCATTCTGGGATGTATTAGCAGGAGTGTTGTAAGCAAGACCCAAGAAGTAATTCTTCTGCTCTACTCCATGCAGATTAGGCATCAGCTGGAGCATTGTGTCCAGTTCTGGCCACCATATTTCAGGAAAGATGTGGACAAATTGGAGAAAGTCCAGAGAAGAGCAACAAAAATTATTAAAGGTGTAGAAAACATGACCTATGAGGGAAGATTGAAAAAACTGGGTTTGTTTAGTCTGGAGAAGAGAAGACTGGGTGGGGGCATGATAACAGTTTTCAAGTACATAAAAGGTTATTACAAGGAGGGAGAAAAACTGTTCTCCTTAACCTCTGAGGATACAACAAGAAACAATGGGCTTAAATTGCATCCAGGGCAGTTTAGGTAAGACATTTGGAAAAATTTCCTGGCAGCGTGGTTAAGCACTGGAATAAATTTCCCAAGGAGGTTTTGAAATCTCCATCGTTGTCTAACTGGCTCTTACAAATCTCCAAACACCTGTCAGGGATGGTCTAGATCAGGGGTGGGCAAACTTTTTGGCCCAAGGGCCATATCGGGGTTGCAAAACTCTATGGAGGGCCAGGTAGGGAAGGCTGTGCCTCTCCAAACAGCCTAGTCCTCGTCCCCTATCCATCCCCTCCCACTTCTTGCCCCCTGACTGCCCCCCTCAGAACCTCCGACCCATCCAACCCCCTCCCCCCCACTCCTTGTCCCCTGACTGCCCCCTCCTGGGACCTCCTGTCCCAAACTGCCCCCCCCTAGGACTCCAACCCCCCTGCTCCCGGTCCCCTGACTGCCCCCACCCAACCCCTATCCACACCCCAGGCCCCTGACAGGCTCCCCAGGACTCCCACGCTTATCCAACTGTCCCTTGACCCCATCCCCAAACCTCCACCCCATCCAACCATCCCCTGACTGTTCCCCGGGACTCCCTGCCCTTTATCCAACCCCCCCCCGCTCCCCACCCCCTTACCGTGCTGCTCAGAGCAGCAGGAGCTCGCTGCCCACTCAGAGCCAGCCGCACTGCCTGCGTGGCTGCAGGGTAGGGGCCAGGGGCTAGCCGCCCCAGCCAGGAGCTCAAGGGCCGGGCAGGACTGTCCCGCGGGCCGTAATTTGCCCACCTCTGGTCTAGATAATACTTAGTCCTGCCATGAGTACAGGGGACTGGACTAGGTGACCTCTTGAGGTCCCTTCCAGATCATAGAATCATATCACCAGCTAGTTTGATCTCCTGCATAACAGAGGCCATAGAATGTCCTCAAAATGATTCCTGTAGACAGCTTCAGCCTTACAATGTAACAAGATAAAAGCAGAGATACAGTTTACAGGCTTGAAACCAGCCTTTGCTTAGACCCATTTTCCTTATTTATCACTAGCACCTCAGTCTTCTCCAAAACAAATGAGGCATTAGGATAAAAGGTCAGGCTAAGGTTGCAGAGGATATCAGTGGTAGACATGGTGTAAAGGAGTTTTATCAAATTGCAAGAACTTTCTCAGCATACACCCTTACTTATGCTGTGACCTTTGGCTCCAGGGAGTAACTACATCACTGAGCTCATGATTATATGTTCAATACACCCTTAAAGGCCCATGCTTACTGAGTAAGAGAAAAGTAAGGGATTGCTATATCAGGCCAGCCCAGTGGTCTAGACCCATATCCTGTCCCTGACAGTGAACAGTGCCACATGCTTTAGAAGGTACAAGAAACACCTTAGTAGACAATTATGGAACATATGCCCATAGGGGAAAGCTTTACTTTCTCTAGCCCAGTGGTTCTCAACCAGGGATACATATACCCCTGGGGGGGGGAATTCCTCTAGATATTTGCCTAGTTTACAACAGTCTACATCAAAAGCACTCGCAAAGTCAGTGCAAACTAAAATTTCATACAGACAATGACTTGTATATATTGCTCTATATACTGAAATGTAAGTACAGTATTTGTATTCCAATTGACTATTTTTTATAATTGTATGGTAAAAATGAGAGTCCACAGTTTCAGTAAGAATGTGTTGTGACATCTTTGTATTTTTATGTCTGATTTTGTAAGCAAGTAGTTTTACAGTGAGGTGAAACTTGTGGTATGCAAGACAAATCAGACTCCTGAAAGGGGTACGGTAGTATGGAGTGGTTGAGAGCCATTGCTCTAGCCCATTCACTATTTTATATACCTTTATCACATCCCCTCATTGTCTGAATAGTCCTTATGGTTTTTCACATTCCCTCATTTTTGTCACCAATCTCAGAACATCCTCTGTATTTGCTGTATCTTTTTTGGAGGCAGCGTGCCGCCAGCAGCAGCACAGAAGGGTGGCAATACCATACCAGGCAACCCTTACTTCTGCACTGCCGCCTTCAGAGCTGGGCAGTCAGAGAGTGACGGCTGCTGACTGAGGGCCCAGCTCTGCAGGGAGCAGCGCAGCAGTAAGGGTGGCAACACCAGACCCTGCCATCCTTACTTCTGCACTGCTGCTGGCGGCAGCACTGCCTTCAGAGCTGGGCTCCTGGCCAGCAGCCGCCACTCTAGCTCTGAAGGCAATGCTGCCGCCAGCAGCAGTGTAGAAGTAAGGTTTCAGAGTAGCAGCCGTGGTAGTCTGTATTCACAAAAAGAACAGGCGTACTTGTGGCACCTTAGAGACTAACAAATTTATTTGAGCATAAGCTTTCGTGAGCTGTAGCTCACTTCATCGGATGCAACCGATGTAGCTCACAAAAGCTTATGCTCAAATAAATTTGTTAGTCTCTAAGGTGCCACAAGTACTCCTGTTTGTTTTACAGAAATGTTTTACCACAAACACCCCCTCTTCCCCCCCCCACAATAACCTTGCGACCTTCCCTCTCCCCCCCCCACCCCCGACACACACCCCCACACCTCTCTCTCCTTTTTGCATCAGGACTCCGACAATTACAACAACATGAAATTTCAGTTTTAAATAGCTGAAATCATGAATTTTATGATTTTTAAAATCCTATGACTGTGAAACTGACCAAAATGCCCTGTAAATTTGATAGGGCCCTATTTATGCATACTAACATTTTGTTTTCTCTTTTGACTGCTGTTGCACATTGAGCAGGGTGTTTTGAGCTGTCTAGAGGGGATGAATCCAGTTAGGATGGATTCGTTTCACCTTCTATTTGACATCCACCTGCCCATAGCATTATAAGACTGTCCTAGCAAGAGAGAAAATAATCTGTTTAGATCCGCCCAGAAAAGCCTCATCTTTGTATCTATGCTTTAATAGGTCATTGTGGAAAAGGTCTCAGGCTCTCAGATTGTTGACATTGATAAGAGGAAGTATCTGGTTCCATCTGACATCACTGTGGCCCAATTCATGTGGATCATCAGGAAGAGGATTCAACTGCCATCTGAGAAAGCAATATTCCTCTTTGTAGACAAGACTGTCCCACAGTCCAGGTGAGAGGCCATTAGACTGGAATTTGTGTGCATTTCACTAAAGATACATAAGCTCAGTGGTGCAAGTACGGCGGTCCGGTCCAGTCCGCCATACTAGTAAGATATTTATAACTGGTACTCCGTACCAGAAAGACACAGGAAGCCGCCGGGTGGCCCCACACCAGCAGCTCCTCCTGCGTGGCTGTACCACCCCTGGCTCCGCCCCCAGCCTTTCCACACAACTGCATCTCCTGTCTGGGGACTGTACAGCAGTTGCATCAGAGGACAGGGTTGGGGGTGGTACAACTGCACCGGAGGAGTGGCCCCATGTTCTGCTCTTTTCGCTGCTGCAGTTCCGGAGAGCCCTGCGGTTCAGAAGTCTCTGACACAGTGGGAGGAGGACAGAGCCCCTCCCCCCAGGTATTGTGGGATGGATCATGGTGAGGGTATAGAGAGAGCGCAGGGGCCCTGAGCTGGGAGCGGGAGAAAGTCATGTGAGGAGGTCACATGTCTCCCCTTTGTGCCCCCCCCCAGGAGGGCAGCATGCCGGTAAGAAATGAATTCTTCTTGCACCACTGCATAAGCCTGATGGACCGCATTCTGCTATGATGTTAGTGTTAACCCCCTCAATAGGATATACTGAGGAGCAGCTCGCTGAGGAAGTAAAGGAAGAATGGTTTGCTATTTTAATATCATTGCTCTAATTTTTCTCATTTTATTTAAATGCTGGCAAAATACAAACCCCCATCTTATTTATAAGAATAAGCTGGAAGAAAAGATGATTGTAAAGCAACTCAGTTGCGACATGCATCAGGGAAGGGTGGTGGGGAAGGTTATTGAAATGCCATGTTAGGTGTCTAAGACATAGATGGTGAACTTCTTGCCAAGAAAGGAAGTTTAACAAAGTGGACAGCACTTCAGCAAGAGTTCAGGAATCATTTTAGTATTCAGGGGCGAGGATCACTAAAATCCTCTTAGACTTTAATTTCTTTGGAGCAAGTACTGTGCTTACTCTATGTTCTCTACAGCACCAAGCATGATACCAACAGTCAAAGTTCCATTGAGAATGTTAAGGTTGCATGATTAAATGCTCAAAAGTGAATACCATAGTCAGGATTCCTAGAACAACCCTTAAATCTGCCCCTGGTATGTATGAATCATTATGATGCAGACACCTACTTTCTTAAATAATACAGTGCAGAATTATAATCTTGTAGGGTGCAAAGTGAATGAAGGGAATGGCCCCTTGTCTTATTCACTATGCATTTTATATAAAAATAAATTTTATTGGCTGCCTGGTGTACACAGAATGATACATTGTAGTAGCAGATACTACATAGGCACCAAAGGTTGTAGCAGAAGCTACATGCTGTTTCTCAAATAATGCAGTATAACCATGTTACTTACTAACATGGCAGAGATAAGGCATTACTTGATATTTGAATGCTTAAAACCATGCAACCTTAATGGTCTCTTCAGACAATCTGCAAAGGATTTTTTAAAAAATTGCGTGTTGTGTTCTCCCCCCCCCCCCCTTTTGCTACTTTATTGTGTATGAGGGCCTGAAAGGGATTTTTATTTCCCTTCCTGCTTGGTTACTCAAGTCTGATCTTCCTGGTATTGCAGTAACATCTTTTTGGGTGTGTATCTCAGACGTGAGTTGTTAACTTTCACATATTAACTAGATGGACAAGAATGTTGAATCTTTAACAAAGGCATCTTTTTGCCCAAATGTTAACAAAAAACAAGGTTTAACTAGAGGGTCACACACTTCCTTGCTTCTGTAGGTCAAGCTCATTGCACATAGCAGGGGGCTCCTTGTATTCCTCCATTTCCCCACATGCTTCCTCTGTGCCACCCAGCTACTTCTCTGTTTAAAGGACTCACTGCAACACCCACATGATGGCCCCAGCATCTTCACCCTTACCTTAGGGCTGAAATCTTTCTTGAGTCCCTGTAGCCAGCCACAAGCATCATCCTTACTTCCCTAGCTCCAGTCAGCAACTGATCTGCTCTGTCAAGCAGCTCCTTTTATATGAGCCTGCTGGGATCTGTTTAATTGCTTCCCTGCAGTCTCTCTCTGCAGCCTGGAGGACTCGTCTCTACTGCTGTTTCCTGGGGTGGGGTGTGGTAGGGCTGCGAGGCCTCCAGCAGGGGGCCTTAGGGCCTGGTACACCCCATCACATCCCCTTATTCACTTCTCCCCCCATGTCAGGGTCCCAATTCTCTCCCCATGCCAGGGGCTTTTGTGTGCACCCCCACTACCTCCCATCCCCCCTTTCCCTCCACTATTCTTCTTTTCTTTTCTTTTCTTTTTCTTTTTCTGAGTGTCAACATTTTGAAACAGTTGGGAGGATGGGCAGAGTTAAAATGAGTGGTATTAGACTGGAATGTGTTACTGGCTTCCTCAACTGATTCCTTGATTTTTAGACAATTACAGAGGTGGTTGACAGGTTTCAGAGTAGCAGCCGTGTTAGTCTGTATTCGCAAAAAGAAAGGGAGTACTTGTGGCATCTTAGAGACTAACCAATTTATTTGAGCATAAGCTTTCGTGAGCTACAGCTCACTTCATCGGATGCATCTGCTGGTTCTACTGACCACAGGCCAGGTGCTCATGTGTCCTCTATTTCCCCTTTCCTGTTTTCTACTTCCCACTAAAATGAAAAAGGTTCCACTCGTTGTTGCGCAGCACATTCCTTGAGATGTTATTGATGGGATGTGGCATTCAGGGGTCATAGTGTTATCTTCAAACAGAGAAATGCTGTCAAGTGAGTGTAAGGCTTCACATGCTCAGCCAAACAGCTTCACTGAAAATCCATTCCCCCCACAAGCTACTCATCTCTTGTGATAACACAATCTCACAGTGCCTCAGGCCACCTGCAGGGGCACAAAACTGACTGTCCAATTTAAACAACAAACAGGAAATAAAACCTGTTTTTTGACAAATCTTTCAGGCCATTATACATCATAAAGCAGCATAATAGGTCACAGGACTTTTTTTTTCATTTTAAAGATCACTTAATATTCAACAAACACCTACAAAATGTCATTAAACACAAGTTGCAGCATCTGGAACTATTTGGCTAGACAGCACCAGAGCAGCCTGTTCTATACAAGGTGCACACTTAGGACGATGGCATATAGGGCATGCTCTTACCTCACTGTACAATTAATGAGACATGACTACTACAGACATCATCTGCAGTGAATGAGGCAGAGTATAATAGAAGCCTTACCTTCTTCAACGCACCCTCTAGCAGATTAATTCCATCATATGCAGTGAGGTTAACCACACGTGCATGCTGAGTGCAACCTTCCTTTCTTTGGAATGTTAGTATTCCCAAAGTATTGGAACTGCATAAAATGAGTCTAAAGCCTTCATCACATGGTCAAATCAAAATGTATTTTCACATGGACACTGAAAAGGTCCTTCTCGTCAATGAGGATTGGTTTCCTGCCAAATTTAAACTTGCTACCCTCAGACATTTTGGAGCAAGAGTTAGATTAGTCTCTTTTTATTTTATCATAGGTGTTCATTCCCCCAACCTCTCATTTAAAGTGGCTGAATTTGAAATATTTTTTGCACAAACTTTCAAAATAAATTCACCTTTGGATACAGACTGGGCCTTGAAAATTAGTCCAACAGGGTATGAACTGAACACTGGAATGGGGAAGGGGAGTTATCAATGGAAACGTTCACACAAACTTAAATCTAGGTGGTGATGTTGCTTCAGCTACAACAATAGAAGTGGGCTATTGAGGGTGTGATCCCACTAAAAGTGATGACATCCCAAGACTTCAGCTTCAACCTGTCTAGACTGTAAATATACCAGTGCATTAGGCCTCAAACAGCATCTACTAAAATCTACATTTGTGAAATGCATTTGTGTAGCTCCACAAACTTAACAGTAAAAATCCAAGCATTTTGCAGATTCCCAGAAATTCTTTATGAATGCCAGTGCTAAAACATCTGGCCTCAGGAGCAATCAGGGATATTGGTGATGACTAAGGGATGTGGATGCCTGCTGTGTTTCTCTGGAATCAGTAGCATTTCAGATATTCTCATTCATGTATTTAAACTTACACTTCTAGTCTAGAGCTTTGTTTTTCATTGTATCCCCTTCTCTCTGTTTGCCATACAGTAATTGTTACCATATGCAGCTCGGCTGCCTTGAACAACTTCTCATTGTGTTTTCTTTTTCTTTCCCCTTGTTCAAGCCTAACTATGGGGCAGCTTTATGAGAAGGAGAAGGATGAGGATGGATTCTTATATGTGGCCTACAGTGGAGAAAACACATTTGGCTTCTGAATGCTGGGTCTGGCTGCTGCACCATCCCGCAATGTATCTTGTAAATAGCCAATTGTTTTCAGTTATGACACCCACAGAGGTTTCTCCCATACACATCATGCATTTGTAACTGGATTAATTTCCTAATATATTGATAGGTCTTGTTTTATTAGACTGGTAAATTATCAGAGTTTTTCGGGGGGGTTTTCCTTTATTGTGCATTGTCCTCATGGCTACAAGTTCCCAGAGCCTCACCCCTCTGGAACACATATTTAATTACATTGTTTATATATTGACGCAAAGTAGTTGGGCTACTAAAACATGAAAAAGAGGAACATGCATTTATTCTGGATTTAGTTTGAGGTGTTAGCTTGACAAGAATTAAAATATTAATTATTAGGAACACTGGCTTCACTAGGTTATTCTGAGCAGTAGCAAGATGCTTATCATATTGAACTGAGTTTATGTTCCTCTTTCTGAATTCTATTAAGGAATAACTACAATAAAAATTCCTCCCACACTGTTATGCTGTTATGTGGCCAATGTCCTTTCTTTACCTTAATTTTGGCCAGCAAGTGGTGCGTGTCAAGATTCTACAGTGAGGGAGCACACTGACGCACATAAATGGAGGAAAAAAGGATCTGTCCTTGGGGACCAAGCCACCATGCCTGGAGCAGCCAGTCCTCATTAGGAGAGGAGCCAAGAGTTGCCAATAGGACCCAGCTGTCAGTCCAAGGATACCGGGGAGGAGGGACCTGGACAATGGGATTGCGTACATGGGGAAGAGCTGACAGTCAAAATACTGGACAACATATGCAGGGGCAGAAGAGGACCAGGCAGCAAAGGAGTGAGAGAGAATAATACACTAGGTAGGAGATGGAAATTAAATGAAGGGCAAAAAGAGACAGTAGAACTAATTTTTTCCAAAATCAATAATTGCACAGAAGACAGTTAAATGTATAAACCCTGTTCTAGGTAAGCAACTGCTGCTGATATTGCATGACTCTGAATGAGAAGGAATGTATTCCCAAGACAATCCTTCTATTCTTTTAAGTACGGATGCTCCCCGATTTACGCAGGCGTTCTGTTCAGGAACGCCTTGCATAAGACAAAATTTGCGTAAGTCGGAAATGTAACTCCAACCATTATGCAAAAAAAACCCCCCAAATCTCCTATTTCTAGCTTATGGAAGTTTTTCTGTAAGATCGGATTTGCGTACCCCGGGGAGTGTCTGTAGAAGAGGTCCAGATTGGAATTAGCAGAAAGGGGGCAGACCAGGGCAAACATAGGTGAGAGAAGGTTATATACCCTTACAAGAAGTTTCAGTTCCCCCAATGGTTCTCAACCTATTTATCATTGTGGGCCGCATCCACTATTACATGTATGGCTCTGAGGATGTCATATGGGGCGCAGCTCTGTGCTGATTGGGCCACAAGCAGCCTGCAGGGCACAGATTGCGAACCACTACTCTACTTCATGAAAATTAAAAGCCACTCCAAATTCATGATTGGAAAATAGGTATAGTCACATCACAACCCTCAGTGGGTACATCTGTACAGCAGCTTGGAGCTAGAATTCCCAGCTTGGGCAGCCATACACATGATTGAGCTAGCATACTAAAAATAGCAGTGTGGGCATGGTGGCTCAGGCTAGTCACCTAAGTACAATCATGTCCATGGTCCTAGGTACATACTTGGCTGGCTAGCCTAAGCTGCCATCTGTACCACTGTGGCCATACTGCTATTTTTAGCTTACAAGTGCAACCAAGCAGTGCATGTATGGCTACCTGAGCTGGGAATTACACCTTCCAGCTGTGCTATAGACATACTCTAAACCAGGGGTGAATGTGGGCTGGTACCCAACTGATGTTAAAGCGCTGCTGCAGTGCTTTAACTAATTGCCCCTTCCCCTCCCCCTGGGCTGCTGACCAGGGGAAGAGTGAAGGGGCAGCTGCCCCGGGGCTGACAATTTAAAAGGGCCCGGGGCTCCCAGCCACTGCTACCACAGCAGCAGCTGAAGCCCCGGGCCCTTTTCAATTGCTGCCAGAGACCCAGGTAGTGCAGGCCAGGCAGTGCAAATTGGTTGTCTGGGGGAGGCTGACCCCCCTACCAGCCCTGCCCCTTCCGGGGGCCAGAGCCAAGCCTCCGTACTGGTAAGAATTTAATATTACTTTTACCCCTGCTCTAAATGTAAACAGGCTCTTAGACAAGTAAATGGGGCTGAAATTATTTTGATCTTCACTCTCTCTTTACAATGGTGCACAAGAGCCTTGGGGAACCAGGACTGAATCACAGCACTGGCCTTTGGCAAGCAGGGCTCACGCGCTGTGCAAACCCAGAACAAATGGTATTAATTATGGTATGAGCTTTCAACTTCCACATCACTGCTACACTGTTCACACTGCTTCTATGTATTCAGACTACACAGGGTAGAACAAGGAAAATGTGTGCTGCCAAGTGAAGAGGATGCAGCCTCTAGTTACATCCCAGGGCGCTCATGCTATAACGGGTAGGGCAGATAGCTACATGGCAAGAATTGAGTTATTGGAGAATTGGCATCTCTCTTAATATAGTATAGTAGGAAATCACTAACCATAATACTTCAGGCTGCAAACAGAACCCTCTTTTTTTTTTGTTTTTTTAACACTATGGTGCTAGTGAGGTGGGCTTTTTTTTTTTAAATGTACCAAGGTCAATGTGGCATGGTGAGCCTATTGCTGAATTTACACAAGTTGAAAATTCTAGGAGCTTACACTATATCTAAAGTTATGTTTGGCTCTAAAGATCACATTTACTGGTGCTATCTGAAAGGGCCACAGAGTTTCTTTTGTTGGGAGGAGGCAGGATCTTGCAAAATGTTGATAGTGTCCTGTTATTAAAGCTGGTTTCAACAGTGCAGCATGTGCTCCCTGCATCTGAAAAAGTGCTCTTAATAAATAAGCCTTTCATTATTTTAGTGTTGCAGCAGTTAAGGTCCTGTCATCATTTCCATTGTGAACCCTCCTTTTTTATGAGTTAACACTCATCTATATTTGTTATGGATAGAAACTTGGCACAGCAAGTCGCTGCCTGGAGGGACTTTCTGGCCCTGGTTTTCAAAACTTGGAAGGAAGGCAGTAGGTTTAGCTGGGTTTTTTTTGTATCCTTTATCATTAAAAAGGAGCTTTGTATCCTTTAAACTGAAACACTGCACCATTTGTCCATAGGCAAAATTAGGCTCTGGCTAATTAGGACATAAATTGAAGCAGATGATTATATAATTCAGACACATGATTCACTGGTTTATCACTTAGCCTTCCCTGAAAATTTTAAATGCACCCTACTAATACACAGGTACAGCTACCCAAACCTTGACAGGAACAAGCTTTAATCACAATAGCATGACAGGCTGAAATGACTTTGGCATTTCCTTCATGAATATCTGAAAAACAAGTGATGACTATTTCTTCTAACATTAGCTCAGAGATTACTAGCCAGTCTAGACTCAGCAGCCCGGAGTCATGAGGAAAGAACTGCATCAAAGGAATGAGAAAGGGCTCCATAAAGGTCCCTTTATATTGTATCAAGAGGTGGATACATGTAGGTTGGCAGCATAACAGAGCAGGCTATTTTTCTTACTGCACATCCCTGCTTTTGGGAGAACCATTCTCACTTATAGAATGGGAAAGAGTGACTGAACCAGGATGTTTGGCGACCACATGACTCCTCCTCCTCCCCCCTCCTTCCCTCTTTTAGTTAACCCTTCACTATTGGCAGTGGCAGCTCAGTTTATGCACTGGACAATGCAGGAAAGGTGTAAAACAAGAACTTTTTCAGGGACTTACTGCAACCCCCATCCCTTTCTCTCCCCCCTGTTCCCCCTTTGCCACGGTCTCCCATGCCAGGAACTGTGTGTGCCTCTATTCCCTACTTCCCCCATTCTCCCCTCCCACCAGAGATTGGTTGTCCCTTCTGTCACTTGCACTGCATGCCCCCCCTTCCCTGGGCTCCCTATACCCTCACCAGAGGTTGTATGCACTCCCCAATTCCCCAACATGCCAGGGGCTGTGTGTGCACACATCCCATTCCTCCCCCCTCTCCCTTATTCTCCATTCTTTCCTTTCTGTTTCAAGATGTCAAAAATTTAGTACTGTCAACCTGCCAATAGTTTGACAGCTGTTATGGGGAAATGTGTTAATGTTTGTCTTAACTGGTTCTGTGATCTGTAGCCAATTACAGAGAAGGGTTAAGTTGATAGCTCTGCTAACCAGATGCCACCAGACTCTGTCCCCCCTCATCCTTTTCATCAAAAATCAGTAGGGATCTATCCCCCAGCCTCAACAACTACCTGAAATTTTGGAGTTGATCAGATGTGACGTTCAACCCTTTTTTCTCATGAAAGAGAGAAATGTCATTACATTGAGTGACAAAGGATATGAGGGAATATCTTTTATTAGACCAACTTCTGTTGGTGAAAGAAACAAGCTTCCAAAGTCCATCTCTTTCACCATCAGCAGTTGGTCTAATAAGATATTCCCTCACCCCACCTTGTATCTCTAATATCCTGGGACCAACATTCCTGCAACAGCACTGCCAACGTTAAATTGTGTGTAAGGCCTCACAAGCTCAGCCAAGGAGCCTTTCAAGTGCTGTTTTGTTTGTTGTTTTAATTCTTGCCCTCTGGTGTGGGTTCACCAACAACTCATCTAGGCTGCAGCATGTCTGACTCTCTTTGTCCCCATCCCAAAAGTGAGATTAATGACACCGGGCAGAAGCCCCAAAGCTGCTGGTTCCCCCTGCCATGTCTTAGTAGAAACAGGCACACTGTATAAAAGCACAGGGAAACATTCCAGAGCCAATCACCCTGTGAATAGCAAGGCTGAAAGCTTAGGAAAGAGTTAAAAAAAACCCTACATCTCCCAATTGCTGATCTAAAAGCTAGACCGCTGCGGGACAACTAGCCTTATACAACTTGTTCTAACATTACAGCTAGAGAGGAAATGGAAACATTCCAGTCTGGTTTGCAGGTTCACTGGAGACCTTGTTTATGAATAACAAAGGGGGAAAACAAGCACATTCAGAAGATCTGGTTTACGCTGGCTACATGGTATCTCACAAGACTTTAGAAAAGGGCGGAGGTAATGAGTTTGAAAATATACTGGTTCGTTTTTATATTAGTGTATTATAGTGCACTAACTGCTAAGACCTGCTGCTTCTCCATCTTAAGTGACCATACCTTCTTCCTAGATGCTTCACTTTCCTGCAGTTCACCCCAACTCTAAAATATATTGGGATCTGGCCTGACCTGCTGGTTCCTTACACAAGTTCTAGATATCAACTCCTTTACCCCTACACTGGCTCAGTTCTTTCAAGAGGGCCTGGGATGTTGATGCTGGCTATGAAAAGTATGGGAGTAGACAGATCAGACTCAGGCTTTCTCCTCCTACAGCTTTATCACTTCCTACATGAAACCATAATTTCACCACTGTGTAAACCAAAAGGATTGGCAAGGAAGGCAATAGGTTTAGCTCCTTTTCTCCCTCCTATGCATTAGAGCAGGATACAGCTGCCATCACCATGCTCAATGGTTTTGTAAAATTTAGGCTATAGCAGGACAGAAGTCTGAGTGAACAGTGGCTCTTGGGTGATTATATAATCTCAGCATCGGGCTAAAGAAATAAAATATGACCACGTGAACAGTCAATTCCCCAGATGGAAGAATCTGGGTGCACCACATGCTTCTAGTTTAACTAGGACATTTTCCATTAGTCTTAGACTGTTCTGCCATGCTGATATCATCTAGTAATATTTTGCTTAGACCCATATATTAAAGCAAAGCCTGTCAGGGACTGTATATTGCTACCACAAGCCTCTCCAGCTTCTACCAGGCTCAGTTAACACATGGCACAAGCCAAATGGTAACACTGAGGCCCTTAATGGTACAACCAAGATCTGTTTTCCCAAGGAGAAATGGTTAATAAAAGGCTTGGGTGTCTCAGTGTTAGTATTTCTGTCATGTGTCTGTTGGCTTAGACTTCATAGTTTCTTATCTCACTGAAAATTGTTTTTAATTGAAATGCAGCATCCTTTCTGCTCTCTGATTCAGATTTTTTTTAAAAACCTTCCCACTGTAAAATGTGGAATCATTTATGGAACGATCTGGATATAAAAAATAAAATGACTGATTAAAAGCCCCATTTTTTACCCAACTCTTATCACATTATCTCTCATCAGTGGGGTGATTAGATACCTCAGTTCTCTGGGATTGGTCTTGGCTTGGAGGTATGAGAGAACATATAGTACCAAACCAACAGGTTTGGGTGCTGTATCTCTTCTGCAGCAGAAGGAAAGGCTGGCATGTCACCCCTTCCTACTTTCATCTCCCTTGTCAAATACATCAGAGTTTGTAGTAGATGGATCAGAACTTCCCCTACTCATACGCTGTGATAAATGAAGGGGGGGGGACTAGCTCTCTTTTATGGACACTCGGCCAGCCAGCTAGCTATAAAATCCCTCTGAGTAGCTGTTCTCTACTTGCTTTACTTGTAAAGGGTTAAAAAGTCCACAGGTAAAAAGAAAGGAGTGGACACCTGACCAAAAGAGCCAATGGGATGGCTAGAACTTTAAAAAATTGAAACAAAACTCCCCCTTGTTTGTGGTTGTTCTCTGCAGAGAGGAGACACGTAGCTGCATTATTATAAGCAGCTTTAAGCCAGGTATGAGAAATCATCAGATCATACCTAGAATTACTTGGTATTCCCCCAAATATGCAAGTAGATCAGAAAATGTCTAGAAAGACACAATTAGGGTTATTTGCTTTATTTCTGTAAGGCTTGTAGATCTCCTCTGTGCTAACCCCAGATGCTTTTGTTTGCTTGTAACCTTTAAGATGAACCCCCAAGAAAGCTATTTTGGGTGCTTCATTTTTGGAATTACTCCTTTAAAATCTAGCAAAAGCCTAAGTTCCAGATGTATTTTCTTCCTTTTTGTTTTTAATAAAATTTACCTTTCTTAAGAACAAAATTGGATTTTTGGTGTCCTAAGAGGTTTGTGCATATGTTGTTTAATTGCCTGGTGGCAACAGCTAATTTCCTTTGTTTTCTTTCTCAGCTCTTCCCTGAAGGGGGGTGAAAGAGCTTGAGGGTACCCCACAGGGAGGAATTCCCAAGTGCTTCTTCCTAGGTTCAAGTGGGTTTTTGCATTTCGGTGGTGGCGTTTACCACGCCAAGGTCAGAGAAAAGCTGTAACCTTGGGAGTTTAATACAAGCCTGGAGTAGCAAGTATTAACTTAAAATCTTTGCGGGCCCCCACCTTCTGCATTCAAAGTGCCAGAGCGAGGATTCAGCCTTGACATATGCCATGGTACATGCAGCTCAGAAGTGACCACCCAAGCCCACTGGGATCTAATTTATATTTCGTAAAGAATGACATACGCAAGCAGCCATAACAAGTTCCCTTTTCTATCCCCCTCCCTCAGAGCTCAGGCTCAGATTTTTAAAGATATTGAGGTGTTGCTGTGCTCAGCCTAAATCCCACGCTCCCTTGGAAAATGGGATTTAGTCTCCTAAATCAGTCAGGCATTGCAATGACTCAAATCCCTTTAAACAGCTGGGCCTTAGAGACAAAGTGCTGCCTTCAACTGACAGCCAGAATTTGGCCCACACTCTAAAGCAACATCTCCCACTCTGTGTCTGAAGGCTCCATCAATGCTGGGCTCACACAGCTGCCATTTTATGTAAACTGCAGGTAATCCTTGGTATTCTTGACCCAGGTTCCTAGGGCCTGGCTATGCAACGCTTTCCAAGCTTCTTGATAGTTTGCTGCAGCTTCCTTGTACTCCCAGTAGGTCTCCAACTTCTTCTCCCTGATAGGAAATGCACCACAACAATGGACAGATTTCAGTTCTCTTATTAACAGAGGTTACCTTTCCTTTTTGAACAAATACCCAACCCTGTGAGAGGCCAATCTGCACTGACTGCTCTTCCTGACACTCTTGGCAAACAGGCAGGCATATAAATACTAATCTGCAAGAGTTTTGTGGGAATAAATGGAAAGAGGTGAAAAGGCCTACAACCATCCTACCTCAGACCTGTGGACCTAGCAGACAGACTAGGCCTCTTACGAAACTGGATAAGCCTCAGGGGGATGTCACCTGCTCTCTGGAGCTTCCTAGGTTTCTGGGAAGATGGTTAAGGAGTTCTGTGCTGTGAAGGAGTTAGGGTTTCTGGACACTTCCGGATTTCTAGAAGGTCCCTGGCTCCTGGGAGGTAGCTCTGTTCAGTTTTCTCCAGGGTGGGTGTATAAATTCTGCCCAAGTATGGCCTGTTTCTACCTCTCCACTGGTTTCAAGCCTTTGTACCACCAACAGGATGGGGATACTTTGTACGAGCAGAGTGCAGCAGACAGAGTGGTGCCAGCCATGTGGGAGAGCAGCCAGGCAGAGTCAGCAGTGTGCCTTATGAGCAGATCCACATTCCAGTGGGGTGGAATTGGTCTCATTTTGCTGGAGGATGTATAGCTAAGAGCTGCCCAAGTGGCTGAAGTTCAGAATAATCTTTTTTGCACTCCAGGGCAAACACAGGGTGGTGGAACAATGGAGTCAGAGTCTTTACTCCTCTGCCTAGAATGGAATGAAAGAGGCGCAGCAGGGCAACATAACTTTGCTTAACATGCTACTGAGATGATGCCTGTCCCACAGGCACTAGCCATGGCCAATGCATTATAAAATGAGTGGACTATGCCACAGCATGCACATGCAGAACTGCATTCAGGCATTTACAACTTAGCTTTCACATACTTCATTGCTATCCACTTTATGTTTCGTTAAATAAACCCCAAATGATTGCAATTAGTGTCTTACTGGGGACATTACCAATGAAAGACACACTGGAGCTCTGCCCTTCAGAACACATGGAAGATTATGGGTACTAACCTTCAGCACTGAGCTGCAGGCATAGAAGAGCCCTTATAGTGGTCAGCTAGCACATGGGGAAAGCAGACTTCAGGAGACACCACAGGTCAAAGAAGGGCTCTGGACACTGCCTCACCCCCCTTACCTCTCGCCCTAACAGCTCCGATTACAACACATGGAAGCCAAGGCAACATAAAAAGTGCAGTATGGCTGATTTAGGGCATATCTACACTGCACACTCCTTATGGCAGGGTGCAGAGCACATACACTACACACACACCCCCACAGTTCAGGTGTATGTAGCTGTGTAGGGGTGAGGTGTTGCTTCAGCAAGTAAAGAGACACCTGAACCCCTAGGGCACGTACCTTACATGGCTCTCTAGATGTGCAAGCAGATCCACCCACCTACACTGCTATTTTTAGGTGTCTTCCAGGAAGCAGCAACATGTCCCTCCAGCTCCCAGTCGGCTCTGAGCACTGCCCCTGCCTGCAGTCACCACCCCACCCCAGCTTCCAGTGGTCGTGGTTTCTGGCCAATGGGAGCTGCAGAGCCAGCACACAGGGCAGGGGCAGTGTGTGGAGTCCCCCGGCCGTCTCTCCGCTTAGGAGCCAGAGGGACATGTTGCTTCTTCCTGAGAGCCGCACGAAGCTGGAAGCCTGCCAGCCCCAGAGCAACTGGAATTTTAACGGTCCAGTCAGCACTGCTGCCAGGGTCCCTTTTCCTGCCACAGGTGTTCTGGTTGAAAACTGGACACCAGGCAAACGTAGTGTAGTGTCCCACTGCCTCCCTGGTGCTGGAGCCTTTCGCCGCCACAGGGAGCTGCTAGAGCCTTTTCCTACCACAGGGAAAGGCTCTGGCAGGGGGGCAGCAGCGGTGAAAGGCTCGCGCAGCTCCCTGCTTCCAGAGCCTTTCCCTGTTTCCTCCTCACTGTCAGAGCCTTTCACGGTCACATGTGGCTACATGCTGCAGGGTGGACACAGTCTGCTTTTCACTGCGGTATGTAGCTATGCACACCCTATGCACCACTGCCAGGAGTGTGCAGCACAGACATATCCTGAGTTTTCTCTCCCCATTCCTCCAGCACAGAGGTGGGCAAACTACGGCCCGTGGGACCATCCTGCCTGCCCGTTGAGCTCCCGGCCGGGGAGGCTAGCCCCCTCCCCCGCAGCCACACCACCGCTTGCACCCGCCCACCTCCCAGGCTTTCCAATAAGCCTGTCCTGCTGCTCTGAGCGGCATGGTGTGTGTGTGGGGGGGTGGATTGGATAAGGGACAGGAGGTCCCGGGGGGCAGTCAGGGGACGGAGAGGAGTTGGATGGGGCGGAGGTTCGGGGTGGGGAGGTCAGGAGACAGGGCGTTGGATAAGGGGTGGGGTCCTGGGGGCACAGTTAGGGATGGGGGTCCTGGGAGGGGGCAGTCAGGGGACAAGGAGCGGGGGGGAGATTGGATGCGTCGGGGGTTCTGGGGGAGGAAGTCAGGGGCGGGAAGTGGGAGGGGGAGGATAGGGGGGGCGGGGTGCCAGGCTGTTTGCAGAGGCACAGCCTTCCCTACCTGGCCCTCCATACTGTTTCGCAACCCCGATATGGCCCTCGGGCCAAAAAATTTGCCCACCCCTGCTCCAGCACATGCTACTGTCAACTAGCACAGCACACCAGCATCGCCTACTCCAAGATCCCAGCCACTAGGGAGCAACAACTGTGATGTGAAGAGAGTTCTGATTACACTTAATGGGTTGTCACAGACTCATCTCTTTGGCCAGAGACTCCCCTGCACTTGCATTCACACTCCTGTATTTAAGGGGCTGTTAGTAAATTTAGGTCTCCTCATTGTTTGTGTAAATCAGTGTTATACGAGAAACGCTCACATGATCAGCAGGCAAGAAAAGAGATGATCTATTCTCCTGTAGCCCCAGGCAAATCTCTGAAAAAATCTGACACATTGGCATGTGCATGTATTCAACCCTACTCTTCTCCACAGCACAAAAGCCACTCCTTTGATCCATTATTCAGTTTCAAACTTTACTTTCAAGTCTTCATCCATAATTGAGATCACATATCTAGTTAGTAAAGGTAACTGTGTTAACAATGTATCAGGACAAAGTACCACAAGGACATTCTGATTAAAAAATTAGAAGTATACTAAATAAACGCAATGTACATAAGTGGATTCAAAACTGGCTGATAGACCTTCAAAACGTAATTGTTAATGGGGAATTGCCCTCAAATTGGGGTGCATCCAATAGAGTCCCCAAGGGATCTGGTTTTGGGCCTGTTTATCTAATATATTTATCAATGCTCTGGAGGAAAATATAAAATCATTCCTAGTACAGGTGATAGACTGCTGAAGCAATAAATAATGATGAAGACAGAGCAGTCATACAGAATGATCTCGACTGTTTGGTAACACAGACCTATTCAAACAAAATTCTTTTTAACACAGTGAAATGCAAGGTCATGAATCTAGGAACAAGAAATACAGGCCACACCTACAGAACAATACTCGGGGGGAACAATGCTCTGGAAAGAAGTGACAGTGTGAGAGTGCAGGGATACTACGCTTGTTAACTTCAGCTAAGCTTCTCCCTCCTCTTGCATTTGTGCTTATGTTTAACTGAAAGTTTACAAGCAAGTTTTCATAAATATAAAGGGAAGGGTAAACCCCTTTAAAATCCCTCCTGGCCAGAGGAAAACTCCTCTCACCTGTAAAGGATTAAGAAGCTAAAGGTAACCTCGCTGGCACCTGACCAAAATGACTAATGAGGAGACAAGATACTTTCAAAAGCTGGGAGGAGGGAGAAAAACAAAGGATCTGTGTCTGTCCGTATGATGCTTGGAGTCTTAGAACTTAGTAAGTAATCTAGCTAGGTATGAGTTAGATTATGATTTCTTTAAATGGCTGAGAAAATAGCTGTGCTGAATAGAATGAATATTCCTGTCTGTGTGTCTTTTTTGTAACTTAAGGTTTTGCCTAGAGGGATTCTCTGTGTTTTGAATCTAATTACCCTGTAAGGTATTCACCATCCTGATTTTACAGAGGTGATTCTTTTTTTACTTCTATTAAAAGTCTTCTTGTAAGGAACCTGAATGCTTTTTCATTGTTCTAAGATCCAAGGGTTTGGGTCTGTGGTCACCTATGCAAATTGGTGAGGATTTTTACCAAACCTTCCCCAGGAAGTGGAGTGCAAGGGTTGGGAGGATTTTGGGGGGGAAAGACGTTTCCAAACTACATTTCTTCAGGAACCCAGATAAAGTTTGGTGGTAGCGGTGGAAGTCCAAGGGTAAAATAGTTCGTACCTTGGGGAAGTTTTAACTTAAGCTGGTAAAAGTAAGCTTAGGGGGTTTTCATGCAGGGCCCCACATCTGTACCCTACAGTTCAGAATGGGGAAGGAACCTTGACACAAGTTTTGAAAAATTTACTCAGACCTATTACCCAGAGAACTAAGCCCACCAGCCATAATGAAAGAAACCTATGCTGCCCTATCCCCCAGGCCTCACGCCCTGCAATTTAAAGGAATTAGTAATCAGAGTCCCTGGAGCAAACAAACTCTCCACAGGAGATGAGTTGCAATTAAATATAGTGTGCATAGAGATCCCCCAGGTGAGAGGCAGAGAGGGGAAGAAAAAGGAAAGTACAGTTGAAGAGGTAGGTGAACCAAGATGGCATGGAGTCCCAAAGACCAAGGCGGCAATGCTGTTAGGGAGGAGGGACTGATCAATCATCATAAGTAGCAGAAAGACCTGGGAACAGACAAGGGACCCATGGACTTAACCCAGAGGAGGCAGTTAGTGACTGGAAAAAAATGTGTCAATGGAGTAATGGGGGTAGATTGCAAGGGATCAAGAAGGGAATCAGAGAAATGAAGGCAGGAACTTAGGAGGCAAAGTGGGGAGGAGGAAGAGAAGATGGACTGATGGCTATAAGAAAGTGGAGTCTAGGGAGCGTAAGGTAGGAGATACCAGGATGCACTTGAACGCAGAAGAAAAGGAGTTGGTGAGGCAGACAGACAGACAAGGGATTGGGGAGAAAGGCAGCTAAACAAATGAGAGTCAGGAGGGATGGTTTGACAGCTTGGAAATCAATAGAAAAATTCCACTCTGAATCAGAGCCCAGAGTGAAGGAAGAGAATATGTTGTGAAGAGTGGCACGAAGTGGAAGTGGAGGGGGAACAGTGGTTTGAAGTTACCCGCTATAGTGTTTGGTCAGTAGCAGGAAAGCAGCAGGACAGGCTGAGTGGAGAGCTAGGTCCCCCTGCTGTACACACTAAGCTTGTATAGCCTGTATCAGAGACACTCGTATCTGTGTGTCTGCTGAACTGTGCCACAAGGAAAAGTCCAGAGACAGAAAATGATAAAAGGACAAAAATGCCACAGGAAATTACAAAACCACAGGAATCCTGAAAAGGCTTGAGGTGAAAGAGTGTTATGTAAGCAGCACATGGCCAGCCTTCCAATCACGCAGCAGCATGTCCCCAATGCACCACACAAACCCAGCTCCTACCATCCCAGTTATGAAGAAGTCACGTTGGACAAACAACTGAAGTAGAGCTCCCCGTGCAATGCTGTGGCTTAAAGGACAAATCCTTGGATGTTTAAAACATGTACATATCCAGCAGAAGTGGGGAGGTGGTATTGCCTCTCTCTACTCGAATAACGTTCCACTTTTCTTGTTCACACTTCAAAAAGATGTTGAAAAACTGGAGAGGGCTCAGAGGGGGTACAAAAATGATTCAGGGTCTAAAAGAAATCCAAGTAAGAGATTTTAAAGAGTTCAGTCTGTTCAGCTCATCAAATAGAAGGTTGAGGGGCAACTTGATCACAGTCTAGAAGTATCTACACGGGGAGAAGATTTTTCAGGGATCTTTAAGCCTTCTGACAAAAGCATAAATGAAATCCAATGGGGGGAGTTGAAAAATCCTAACTGGAAATAAGACCGTTTTTTCCAACAATTGGGATATTTAACCTTTGGAACAGATTAACTATGGATGTGGTAGATTCACCATCACTTGGAATCTTGAAATCAAGATTAGATGTCTCTTTCTAACATATATGATCTAGAGTTCAACCAAAAGTTATGGGCTTGATGCAGCAGTGGTGGATGGAGTTCTATGGCCTGTGGTATTATATACAGGTCAGACTACAGGTCATACAGAATGGTCCCTTATGGCTTAAAAACCTATGCATTGCTTTATTTAGTAACATAGTAACAAACTCTATTAGAGTTCTTTGAAGGGGTCAACAAACATGTGGATAAGGGGATCCAGTGGACATAGTGTACTTAGATTTCCAGAAAGCCTTTGATAAGGTCCCTCACCAAAGGCTCTTATGTAAATTAAGTTGTCATGGGATAAGAGGGAAGATCCTTTCATGGATTGAGAACTGGTTAAAAGACAGGGAACAAAGGGTAGGAATAAATGGTAAATTTTCAGAATGGAGAGGGGTAACTAGTGGTGTTCCCAAGGGTCAGTCCTAGGACCAATCCTATTCAACCTATTCATAAATAATCTGGAGAAAGGGGTAAACAGTGAGGTGGCAAAGTTTGCAGATGATACTAAACTGCTCAAGATAGTTAAGACCAAAGCAGACTGCGAAGAACTTCAAAAAGATCTCACAAAACTAAGTGACTGGGCAACAAAATGGCAAATGAAATTTAATGTGGATAAATGTAAAGTAATGCACATTGGAAAAAATAACCCCAGCTATACATACAGTACGATGGGGGCTAATTTAGCTACACCTAATCAGGAGAAAGATCTTGAAGTCATCGTGGATAGTTCTCTGAAGACATCCATGCAGTGTGCAGCGGCAGTCAAAAAAGCAAACGGGATGTTAGGAATCATTAAAAAAGGGATAGAGAATAAGACAGAGAATATCTTATTGCCCTTATATAAATCTATGGTACGCCCACATCCCCTCATCTCAAAAAAGATATACTAGCATTAGAAAAGGTTCAGAAAAGGGCAACTAAAATGATAAGGGGTTTGGAATGGATCACATATGAGGACAGATTAAAGAGGCTAGGACTTTTCAGCTTGTAAGAGGAGACTAAGGGGGGATATGTAGAGGTATATAAAATCATAAGTGGTGTGGAGAAAGTGAATAAGGAAAAGTTTTTTACTAGTTCCCATAATATAAGAACTAGGAACCATCAAATGAAATTAATGGGTAGCAGGTTTAAAACAAATAAAAGAAAGTTCTTCTTCACTCAGCGCACAGCCAACCTGTGGAACTCCTTGCCTGAGGCGGTTGTGAAGGCTAGGACTATAATAGGGTTTAAAAGAGAACTAGATAAATTCATGGAGGTTAAGTCCATTAATGGCTATCAGCCAGGATTGGTAAGGAATGGTGTCCCTAGACTCTGTTTGTCAGAGGGTGGAGATGGATGGCAGGAGAGAGATCACTGATCATTACCCATTAGGTTCACTCCCTCTGGGGCACCTGGCATTGGCCACTGTCGATAGACAGGATACTGGGCTGGATGGACCTTTGGTCTTGCCCAGTATGGCCATTCTTATGTTCTTATAATGAAATTGCCACTAAGTAAGAGTTTCTGCTTTTATTAAAAGTCTCTATGCATAAAACAGATACAGCCCATGAAGCAGACATGCAAGCTGTTCACACTGGCCCCCACTTCCCATGGGCCTTCTCTGTGACCTGAAGGGAAAAGCGTTTAGCTCTTGGACTTCTCTCTACTGACACTAGTGCCTTTACTGGAAATTAGTAACAGCTACAACAGTGGTTTTTGTGATGTGGACACCTGTGCACTAGGAAATGCACTGAGACCCACCTAATTATTTCACAGATACTAAACAGTGGCTAATTATCACCACTGGTTTCTGTCTGTGCCAACACTGGCTGGATTTTAACCCAATTATTTCTCATCCTTGCTCACCTGAACTAGCAAGTCCCCCAAAAACTTTTTCATATCCTGGTCTCACTTGAATACAAGAAGTACCATTACTGCTAACTTACCAACTGGGTAAGAAAGCACATACTGCACTTGCCAATATCCAAATGTTGTAGCCTTAAAAAGCCAAATTGTAATGCTGATCCCAGCAGTAATCAAATTCCCTTATATTGGCAGCCTCTGGTTTCATTAGAGCCACTCTTGGAATCTGTTGAGATTCTCCTTATAACCAATCAGAAAGAGTAATTTCTCACCTGAGAGATTCTGGCAGATTCTCCTGTGAAATACTAGCCATCAGCCTTTGGAATACATGGAAAAGTTCCACCTTACAGATCCGGGACCTAAGAAGAAGAAGAAACTCAATTCAAATCATCAGCCGTAGAACAATTAAAACAGCAGTTTTGCTGTAGACACCTGTCTCATTAGGCCTACAGCAATGATGGATAATTTGCTCCTTCCCTCAATTATAAATGCTTTGCCTAGGATAATTTTACAAACAACTAGCCACCTCCCAGAGTCTTGTACATCTAGAACTGCTCTCAGGGGGAAGAAGAGGATGCCACAAGAAAGGAGCTTTCAAACAAATGCACTTTTGTTTGTTTGTAAAACCTTGAATAGTTTTACAGATGAGGTTTTATTTCCTTGGTATCTGTTACGTTGTAATCCTAAATGCCATAAAGAGCCTAGTATATAATTTTAGTAATAACAGTCATCCATAAAGTCTTACAGGAAAAACAGTAGACAAGACATGAATTTCTAATGGAACAAACTAAGCCTTTACGTTGGAGCTTTAGTCACAAAGAAAGAAAAGAGTATACACCCCTTTGCAATCCACACTGGATTTTTTTTTCCAAATGTGTTAAATTAGTGCAGATGAAGAGTCCTACTTAACAGATATAGCATGGAGCACAGCCTTGTAAGCTTCCCTCACACCATCCATCAGTTCACCCATTCAGGATGAGAGGTTAATTCAACCTCCATAGTCCATTCAGTTCTTGGCCTCTCTGCTCTGACTTTATTGCAATTATATAAAGTGCACTTTTCCACAGTTCTAGGAGCAGGTATTATTATTTAATGTGTTTATTACGGCAGTGCCAAAGGGCCCACCAAGAACAGAACTAGGCACTGTACAAACACAGAGCAGCAGACAGTCCCTGCGCTGAAGAACTTACAGTGTAACTAGACTAGACTGACAAAAGGTGGGGGGAGGCATAGAACACACCAACAGAGTGAGCAATGTGATGACACCAAACAGCATGCTAGTTCCACCTTTAGGGAGGAGGAGGTGAAGAAGGCAGGTAAAGGGGCTACTTAAGAGGAGATAAGCTAAAGGGAAAGAAAAGGGAAGGGGCTGAGGAGGACAGGGCAGGGGGGAAGAGGGTAAGAGGGGCAGATGTGGAGTGACGATGAGGTGAGGAGACTGAGGGATGGATGGAACAAGCAGCCAATCAGCACAGAGCAGGAAGAGTCCAATGAAAACTCCAGAAAGATCTAAGAGTCCATATGTCTCTGGCTGGTTCCTCTCACTGTACAAACAAACAATTAGTACAAAATGTGCAAACAATTTACAAAAATACTTACAAACATCAAATAGGCTCATCTACATTAATTAATATTGTACCAAATACCACACTTCTAAGTTAAAACTATAAAGCTCTTCTTGGTCTTCCTGTTCCTAGAGAGGAGATGGAAACATTGTACAGTGGACTTTTAATAAAGGTAGACAGCAATTCTAAGTCAAGGAGATTTTTCTCCTGGAAGCATGGCATCTTGTCTTAGTGTCTCCTTCAGAAAGACTAAATCTAGGACTCTCCTCCCCGGCACCTCATTCACTACTGCTCAGTTCCCAGCCCATGGGAAAACAGACAGGCCATGCAAGGCACCAGTTAATGAATTGGTGATGTGGACAACGGACTACTGTACCAGAACACGGCGAAGACTGCCAACTATTTTCCCATTTATCTGCGGGGTGGGTCTTGCCTACATGCTCAGGGTCTAACTGATCACCATATTTGGGGTCAGGAAGGAATTTTCCTCCAGGTCAGATTGGCTGAGACCGTGGGGGCTTTTCAACTTCCCCAGCAGCCTGGGGCACGTGCAGGTTTAAACTAGCGTAAATGCTGAATTCTCTGTAACTTGAAGTCTTTAAACCATGATTTGAGGACTTCAGTAACTCGGTTAGAGATCTATTTCAGGCGTGGGGAAGGTTCTCTGGCCTGTACTGTACAGGAGGTCAGACTAGATGATCACAATAGTCCCTTCTGATCTTAAAGTCTATGAGTCTTCTTTCAAACAGGCTACTGAACAAGCTACAACTTTTGGTTGTCACTCACCTGACCTGGAATTCAGCAACCCATAGGCAAAAGTCTCTATATCCCATCATCAATTCTGAGATATCACATCCCAACTTATCAGCATTTTCGATATGTCAATCCCCAGACACATTCATATTACAGAAACCAGCAGTCCTGTCCACAGTAGTGGAATTTTTCAAAAGTTTTTCAAAGACACATTATTAAGGGCACAAGAGCAAACTATCCCATTGTGTAAGAAAGATAGGAAGTATGGCAAGAGACCACCCTGGCTAAACCAGGACCTAAACCTCAAAAAGAGTCCTACAAAAAGTGGAAACTCAGTCAAATTACAAATGATTTATATAAACAAATAACACAAGTATGTAGGGACAAAATTAGAAAAACCAAGGCATGAAACGAGATCAAACTAGCTAGGGACATAAAAGGAAACAAGAAAACATTCTACAAATGCGTTAGAAGCAAGAGGAAGATCAAGGACAGAGTAGGCCCATTACTCAATGATGGGGGAAAGACAATAACAGAAAATGTGGAAATGGCAGAGGTGCTTAATGACTTCTTTGTTTCAGTTTTCAGCAAGAAGGGTGGTGGCGACTGGATGTCTAAACATAGTGAATGCCAGTGAAAATGAGGTAGGATCAGAGTCTAAAATAGGGAAAGAACAAGTCAAAAATTACTTAGACAAATTAGAAGTCTTCAAATCACCAGGGCCTGAAGAAATGCATCTTAAACTACTCAAGGAGTTGACTGAGGAGATATCTGAGCCATTAGCAATTATCTTTGAAAAGTCATGGAAGATGGGAGACATTCCAGAAGACTAGAAAAGGGCAAATATAGTGCCCATCTATGAAAAGGAAAATAAGGACAACCCAGGGAATTACAGACCAGTCAGCTTAACTTCTGTACCTGAAAAGATAACAGAGCAAATAATTAAGTAATCAATTTGCAAACACCTAGAAGACAATAAGGTGATAAATAACAGTCAGCATGGATCTGTCAAGAACAAATAGTGTCAAACCAACCTGATAGCTTTCTTTGACACGGTAACAAGCCTTGTAGATAGGGGGGAAGCAGTAGATGTGGTATATCTTGACTTTAGTAAGTCTTTTGATACTGTCTCGCATGACCGTCTCATAAACAAACTAGGGAAATACAACCTAGATGGAGCTACTATAAGGTGGGTGCATAACCGGTTGGAAAATCGTTCCAAGAGAGTAGTTATCAGTGGTTTACAGTCATGCTGGAAAGGCATAACGAGCGGGGTCCCGCAGGAATTGGTTCACGGTCTGGTTCTGTTCAATATCTTCATCAATGATTTAGATAATGGCGTAGAGAGTACACTTATAAAGTTTTTGGACGAGACCACGCTGGGAGGGGTTGCAAGTGCTTTGGAGGATAGGATTAAAATTCAAAATGATCTGGACAAACTGGAGAAATGGTCTGAAGTAAATAGGATGAAATTCAATAAGGACAAATGGAAAGTACTCCACTTAGGAAGGAACAATCAGTTGCACACATACAAAATAGGAAATGACTGCTTAGGAAGGAGTACTGTGGAAAGGGATCTGGGGGTCATGGTGGATCACAAGCTAAACATGAGGCAACAGTGTCACACTGTTGCAAAAAAAGCAAACATCATTCTGCGATGTTGTAGCGGGGTAGTCACCCTGCTCTGTCCCTGAAGGCGTTAAAACAGCCTTGGGAGAGGGCTGCCCTGGAGAGCGCTGCGGCTGGGGGAAGAGAAGTGAGAACAGCTGGGAGAAGCTGAGTAAGTAGCTGACCAAAGCTGTGGCCAGCTCAATCAGGGTCCAGATGGCCCTTATAAGAGGGCTGTGGGCCAGAAGCAAGAGGAGTCTCACTCTGCCCTGGAGTAGGAAGGGCTAGCTGCCTGAGAATGAGCTGCCTGAAGTGGAGCAGTGCTGGGGAAAAGGACAAGAGGAGCTAGGGAGCTCCAGCCTGGTAAATCCTCAGGCTGCAGGGCCTTGGGGAAGGCCTACAAAGGTACTGGGGCTGCAGAGGGGCAGCCTGGGAATAGGCAGAGGCAGCTGGTCCTAACCCCTTGCCAATGATGAGTGGCCATTACAGACTGCAGTCTGCCCCAGTGAGCGGGAGCTAGATGATGATTGGCAGTAGCCACTGAGGCAAGGTGGGTTTAGAGGTTTGGGGGCTCTCCTGGGAGGCGAGACCCAGAGCGTGGGGGCACTGCCAGGGGGCAGGACCCCAAGGTGAAGGGGCACCAGGGTCCGGGAGGGACACGGGGGGCAAGCAGCAGGCGAGAAACCAGCCTGCAGAGGGCGCTCCTTATGCTGGAGAGCTAATTCTTGAGAGCAGGAGGCGCCGTGCTGGTGAGTCGCCCCGCTACAGACGTATTCACAGGAGTACTGTAAGCAAGACACGAGAAGTAATTCTTCCACTCTACTCTGCGCTGATTAGGCCTCAACTGGAGTACTGTGTGCAGTTCTGGGTCCACATTTCAGGAAACATGTGGACAAATTGGAGAAAGTCCAGAGAAGAGCAACAAAAATTATTAACAGGTTTCAGAGTAACAGCCGTGTTAGTCTGTATTCGCAAAAAGAAAAGGAGTACTTGGGGCACCTTAGAGACTAACCCATTTATTTGAGCGTGAGCTTTCGTGAGCTACAGCTCACTGCATCGGATGCATACTGTGGAAACTGCAGAAGACATTATATACACAGAGACCATGAAACAATACCTCCTCCCACCCCACTCTCCTGCTGGTAATAGCTTATCTAAAGTGATCACTCTCCTTACAATGTGTACGATAATCAAGTTGGGCCATTTCCAGCACAAATCCAGGTTTTCTCACCCTCCGCCCCCCCCCCTCACACACACACACAAACTCACTCTCCTGCTGGTAATAGCTCATCCAAACTGACCACTCTCCCTACAATGTGCATGATAATCAAGGTGGGACATTTCCAGCATAAATCCAAGTTTAACCAGAACGTCGGGGGGGAGGAAAAAACAAGGGGAAATAGGCTACCTTGCATAATGACTTAGCCACTCCCAGTCTCTATTTCAGCCTAAATTAATAGTATCCAATTTGCAAATAAATTCCAATTCAGCAGTTTCTCGCTGGAGTCTGGATTTGAAGTTTTTTTGTTTTAAGATAGCGACCTTCATGTCTGTAATTGCGTGACCAGAGAGATTGAAGTGTTCTCCGACTGGTTTATGAATGTTATAATTCTTGATATCTGATTTGTGTCCATTTATTTTTTTTACGTAGGGTGAGAAAACCTGGATTTGTGCTGGAAATGGCCCACCTTGATTATCATACACATTGTAAGGAGAGTGATCACTTTAGATAAGCTATTACCAGCAGGAGAGTGGGGTGGGAGGAGGTATTGTTTCATGGTCTCTGTGTATATAATGTCTTCTGCAGTTTCCACAGTATCCATCTGATGAAGTGAGCTGTAGCTCATGAAAACTTATGCTCAAATAAATTGGTTAGTCTCTAAGGTGCCACAAGTACTCCTTTTCTTTTTGCGAATACAAACTAACACAGCTGTTACTCTGAAACCTGTCATTATGCAAGGCACTGCATTTAGCCGTATGGAGTGGAAATCTATCAACTGCATGAAAAAACTTGTACAGATACAGACAGACATCATCTTCCTTTCCAAATGCAAACAGATGGACATCGTACCAAAAGGACTGAAGGTAAAGAATCCATTACAATCTACATACCACACAGACTATGCTGACAGCTTGTGCCACACGCTCTCAAAGAAACTGCGGAATCACCTGATCAACATCCTCTACAGCAAACAGGGAAAGATTAAGAATGAGCTCTCAGAACTGGATACTCTCATAAAAAAACAACCTTCCACACAAACTTCCTCGTGGCTGGAATTTACTAAAACTAGACAAGCCATTTACAACGCACACTTTGCTTCTCTACAAAAGAAAAAGGACACTAAACTTTCTAAACTACTACATGCTACAAGGGGCCACAGCAATGGTTCCCTCAACCCACCCAGCAATATTGTTAACCTATCCAACTATACTCTCAGCCCAGCAGAAGAAGCTGTCCTATCTCGGGGCCTCTCCTTCTGCCCGTCCACCCCCACGAACATGATACAGTTCTGTGGTGACCCAGAATCCTATTTTCGACATCTCCGACTCAAGGAATATTTCCAAAATACCTCTGAACAACATACTAATCCACAAAGGCCTCTCTACCAACATTACAGAAAGAAGGATTCTAGGTGGACTCCTCCTGAAGGTCGAAACAGCAGACTGGACTTCTACATAGAATGCTTCCGCCGACGTGCACGGGCTGAAATTGTGGAAAAGCAGCATCACTTGCCCCATAACCTCAGCCGTGCAGAACACAATGCCATCCACAGCCTCAGAAACAACTCTGACATCATAATCAAAAAGGCTGACAAAGGAGGTGCTGTTGTCATCATGAATAGGTCGCAACATGAACAAGAGGCTGCTCGGCAGCTCTCCAACACCACTTTCTACAAGCCATTACCCTATGATCCCACTGAGAGTTACCAAAAGCAACTACAGCATTTGCTCAAGAAACTTCCTGAAAAAGCACAAGATCAAATCCGCACAGACACACCCCTGGAACCCCGACCTACGATATTCTATCTACTAACTAAGATCCATAAACCTGGAAATCCTGGGCGCCCCATCATCTCAGGCATTGACACCCTGACAGCAGGATTGTCTGGCTATGTAGACTCCCTCCTCAGGCCCTACGCTACCAGCACTCCCAGCTACCTTCGAGACACCACTGACTTCCTGAGGAAACCACAATCCATCGGCGATCTTCCTGATAACACCATCCTGGCCACTATGGATGTAGAAGCCCTCTACACCAACATTCCACACAAAGATGGACTACAAGCCGTCAAGAACACTATCCCCGATAATGTCATGGCTAACCTGGTGGCTGAACTTTGTGACTTTGTCCTTACCCATAACTATTTTACATTTGGGGACAATGTATACCTTCAGATCAGCGGCACTGCTATGGGTACCCGCATGGCCCCACAGAATGCCAACATTTTTATGGCTGACTTAGAACAATGCTTCTTCAGCTCTCGTCCCCTAACGCCCCTACTCTACTTGTGCTATATTAATGACATCTTTATCATCTGGACCCATGGAAAAGAAGCCCTTGAGGAATTCCACCATGATTTCAACAATTTCCATCCCACCATCAACCTCAGCCTGGTCCAGTCCACACAAGAGATCCACTTCCTGGACACTACAGTGCTAATAAGCGATGGTCACATAAACACCACCCTATACCGGAAACCTACTGACGCTGTTCCTACCTACATGCCTCCAGCTTTCACCCTGACCACACCACACGATCCATTGTCTACAGCCAAGCTCTGCGATACAACCGCATTTGCTCCAACCCCTCAGACAGAGACAAACACCTACAAGATCTCTATCAAGCATTCTTACAACTACAATATCCACCTGCGGAAGTGAAGAAACAGATTGATAGAGCCAGAAGAGTTTCCAGAAGTCACCTACTACAGGACAGGCCTAACAAAGAAAATAACAGAATGCCACTAGCCGTCACCTTCAGCCCCCAACTAAAACCCCTCCAATGCATTATTAAGGATCTACAACCTATCCTGAAGGATGACCCAACACTCTCACAAATCTTGGGAGACAGGCCAGTCCTTGCCTACAGACAGCCCCCCAACCTGAAGCAAATACTCACCAACAACCACATATCACACAACAGAACCACCAACCCAGGAACCTATCCTTGCAACAAAGCCCGTTGCCAACTGTGCCCACATATCTATTTAGGGGACACCATCACAGGGCCTAATAACATCAGCCACACTATCAGAGGCTCGTTCATCTGCACATCCACCAATGTGATATATGCCATCATGTGCCAGCAATGCCCCTCTGCCACGTACACTGGTCAAACTGGACAGTCTCTATGTAAAAGAATAAATGGACACAAATCAGATGTCAAGAATTATAACATTCATAAACCAGTCGGAGAACACTTCAATCTCTCTGGTCACGCAATTACAGACATGAAGGTCGCTATCTTAAAACAAAAAAACTTCAAATCCAGACTCCAGCGAGAAACTGCTGAATTGGAATTCATTTGCAAATTGGATACTATTAATATAGGCTTAAATAGAGACAGGGAGTGGCTAAGTCATTATGCAAGGTAGCCTATTTCCCCTTGTTTTTTCCTAGCCCCCCCCAGACGTTCTGGTTAAACTTGGATTTATGCTGGAAATGTCCCACCTTGATTATCATACACATTGTAAGGAGAAAAGGAGTACTTGTGGCACCTTAGAGACTAACCAATTTATTTGAGCATAAGCCTTCGTGAGCTACAGCTCACTTCATCGGATGCATACTGTGGAAACTGCAGTTTCCACAGTATGCATCCAATGAAGTGAGCTGTAGCTCACGAAAGCTCATGCTCAAATAAATTGGTTAGTCTCTAAGGTGCCACAAGTACTCGTTTTCTAGACCTTTAATAATTTTTAAAAAAAGAAAAGATGACCTATGTGGGAAGATTGAAGAAAATTGGGTTTGTTTAGTCTGGAGAAGAGAAGACAGAGGGGACATAACAGTTTTCAAGTACATAAAAGGTTGTTACAAGTAGGAGGGAGAAAAATTGTTGTTCTTAACCTCTGAGGATAGGACAAGAAGCAACGGGCTTGAAATTTCAGCAGTTTAGATTGGACATTAGAAAAAACTTCCTAACTGTCAGAGTGGTTAAGAACTGAAATAAATTGCCCAGGGAGGCTGTGGAATCTCCATCATTGGGGATTTTTAAGAGCAGGTTGGACAACCACCTGTCAGAAATGGTCTAGATAATACTTAGTCCTGCCTTGAGTGCAGGGGACTGGACTAGATGACCTCTCGAGGTCCCTTCCAGTTCTATAATTCTATAGGAAATTTCATAGGAAGTTTGTCATTCCAAACTGGACAGGACAAAACAGCAATTTCTTCTAAAAAGTGAAGCCTGGAGGACAGAGGTCAGCTTCTATTTTTGACATGTTAATGACCACAGAAGAGCAACTATCATGGGAAAAAGAAAGACAGAAGTGCTAGAAATAAACCACAAGTGTTCCAGCTTCCAATAAAGTGATTACACTTCACACAAAGCGGGCAGAAATAAGATTTGCAGCCTGCAAGGGAAAACACACATCTCAAACAAGTGCAACCACGGAAATCAATTACTCCAACAATAAAGGAAGCACTGGAACAATCCTCACTGAAAAGACGATGGCCACATGTGAAAATTTTATCAAATAACAGGCTCATCTCCTACCCAATAACCAGGATGGAGGCCCCTGCCTTCTGCTAGGCAGAGAATGACAATTTAGTCTACATCAACAAAAGATTCTGGTTTCATATAAAAATATCCCCCCTTGTTTTAATTATTAGAAAAATTTTATTAGGCAAAGGTAACAAACATCCCAGTGAAGGGGCTAAGCCTATAAAACACAGGCCCCGCCTATACTCTCTATCTTGTGCAGTAGGAACATGGTCTGGGATGGAACAAAAGTGGGGATTTCTTCCCCATCCCTTAACTCCTTCTCGATGCCCGCAGTCCCTACACACCACATTCTATGTCAAAAAGAAAGAGAGGGGGGAACATACACTGATAAGAATACACTCCAAAAGAGACATCACAAGCCCTTACTACCACCACACCTGGTCTGGTAACTTCCGATTCCTTTCTTTGTTGTTCCCTGCTTGAAGCCATTTGAGGTAACATCTAGAGGTTGCTCAGGGACAGCACTCCAGCTGATAGCTGGGGAAAAAAAGATCATGAACAAGTCGATTCTCAGCAGAAAATCAAAACTCTCAATACTGCAAAACAGAAGGGTTTGTGATGACAACATACCACTATCCAGATTAATTCAGGTAAACTTGAAAGATTACAATGCTAGTGGCATATTCATTTCAGTCTCATCAGGGATGAGTCTGGAGTTTCATAGGGAAACATTTCAATTAAACATTCCTTCACTTCCCAATAACCCACTAGACTCCCAGGATAGACATTAAAATTAGAGATGGCAAAGACCAATCATGTATTCTAGGGGCAGATTTTCAAAGGTATATAAGAACCTAAAGATGCTGATAGGCACCTAGTGGGATTTTCAGAAGCACCTATTTACATCTTTAGACACCTAAATACCTTTAACATCTGGCCCTTAGTCTCTCTTCCCCACAAGGCAGGAGAGTTCCCTCCAATATATTCTGTCATGTTTTGGCCAAACACATTTTAAGTGTCCCAGACGACAAGGCTTCCCCTTGCTTTGCTAGAGATATTAGATTGTGGAATATTCCATCTCATGCCAAAGTTTTGCATACTAGTCAGCCTATATTCTTGCTGCTGTCTCCCCCCACCCCACCCCTATGCCACCCTAAATAATCCATCAACCTTTTTCCACACTTATACCTTTCAAATATCGGTAGACATATCCTTAAAAGTTATATCAGAAATTAGAGAACAAATAAAGGCTCAGTAGAAGAGCAGGGAAGAGCTGATATTTATCTATCCCTCTCTCCTATACTTTGTCTGTTTCTACTCATCTTAGATTGTAAAGTCTCTGGTGCCAAGACTATATATTCCTATAAGGGCTGAAAGTGCTTAGCACTGTGTGGGTACTATTGTAATATAAATACATAAATAATAATAATAAACACTAACAATAACATATCCAATTTATCATCGCATAAACTAGCTATAGCTCCTTTACCCTCTCCTTACAAATCTCTACAGCCTCATGATAAATTATTTTTGTTCATCTCTGAATTCCCTCTTTTTCGGTCTTCCTGGTAACATGGCACAGGTGCAGTTGTATCAAGCAGCATATGGAGAGCCCATTGCTGCTCAGCTCCATGATACAATGCCTCTGTGGGATCAGCTTAAAATTGCACTGTTTTTTTAGCCACTGTATTGCACTGCAAAAAATTCGAGTCTGATTTGTAGTCCACTTCCACCTTGGGTCTCTTTCAGCATTATTGCTTCTAAGGTTCCTCTGTTCCACTGGTACCTGTGTTTCAGATTATCTTTTCCCAGATGAATCAGCTGCATTTTTCCAAGAGAAATCTCATTTTGTTATTTCCTACAAATGTTTCTAATCTCTCTCTATTGTAATTATTTTGAGCCCTTATCACCATAGTAGCTAAATATATTCCTCACTGGTATTTGCAATATCCTCCAATTTAGTGAATGTTATTAATATACTGTTTCTTTCCCATTCTATCCTACCAATGAAGTTGCTAAATAAGACCAGTCCTAACACAGAAATCTTTGGCAACCAAATGGCCAGAGGTGGTTCATACAGTGTAGGCGTGTCTTCAGCCCGTGAAGGACCTATTGCTACACCCAGAGTCTCTTTTCAGGTCAGTTTTATTTTCTAAACACAAGTAAAACACAAAACAGTTCCTCAGCCTATGCTGGGCTACAGCTTCCAGGGGATTTTCCCTTTGCTTATCTCAGTCCTTCCTGCTTCAGGCCCTTTTGCAGGATTATTCCTTGCTCTTTTAACTGACCACCACCTCCCTGGGCTTGCCCTTCTCCCCTAACTCCAAAAAGGTTCCCACTCCCTCCCCTCCCAGCAGACTCTCTGCTGATCTCCCACTTCCTTACTGACAACTTCTCTCTATAACCCCAGATGCTGCCCTGCCCTCTTAACTGGCAGCAGCACAGAAGCTAGCAAACAGAGCTGTAAATAGGGGGGTTTCAGGGGGAGTTTGTATTGTGGTGCTTGTTTGCGGTTTGTTTTTGCTGCTGGTGGTGGTGTTTTGATGTGGTTTGTGTTTCCCAGATTAACAGGATTTAGGTGGGAAAGCTATGACAGATACAGAGGCAGCAGTGGGAGTGACCCATGTAGTGGAAGACACAATGAGGATGACTGGATGAGGAAGCTGCAGTATGTACCTGATCCTGGAGGGGCTATCTGGTAAGAGTTTTGTCTGCATGAAATGCCATCTGATAGAGCTGATGGAGGAAAAGATCCGAGGATTGGAGATGTAGGTGGAAAGTCTGGTTGAGTTTAGAAGGGGGTTCGAGCAGATTATGGAGCAAAGGCCTGAGGTAGCTGAAGGGAAAAGCTTAGACTTGCAGATGGAAGCAGGACTGAGGAACTCTGAGAGGAGACTGCTGGGTGAGGAAAGTGGACAGTGGAAGCATGTGATCTTTAGTGGTGTTGGGAACACTGGGGCATGGCCACTAGGTAACTCGAGGGGATGGAAGACCACGAGTGTCGATGAAGCCCCCTCGCACTAGGCCCCGGTGTCCTTGGCCCCCCTCCTCCTGCCTGGAGGCACTCGCAGCAGCTCTGCGTACTAGGCCCAAGTGTCCTTGGCCCCCCCGTCTGGAGGCACACACAGCAGTTATGCTGAGAATCTGCAACAGTATGTTGCAGAGTCAGACTGCCTGAAACTAAGCAAGGCCAAACAAGGGAGATAGGGAAGAACAATGCTGAATAAAGCAGCTTTATGTATAGTTTAACAAATCATAGAATAAAAGGGTTGGAAGGGACCCCAGAAGGTCATCTAGTCCAACCCCCTGCTCAAAGCAGGACCAATTCCCAGTTAAATCATCCCAGCCAGGGCTTTGTCAAGCCTGACCTTAAAAACCTCTAAGGAAGGAGATTCTACCACCTCCCTAGGTGATGATACAGAGAATCAGGGAACTAGCTGGGAACTGGATTGGCTGGCTATATGGATACTTGGGGCAGCTTGCTATTGGATAAGTATGCTGGGAAAAAGGATGTATAAAAGCCTGTGTAACTTCCTGCTCTGTGTGCAGGATTTGAGATTTTATTCTCCCTGTACCTTTTTGCAGCTGCAAATAAACTTTTCTGCTTCTCCACCCCGTTGTGATTATTGGGTGTAGCACACCGGGTAACGAACCACTCAAGCTGTTGTTCAGCCTCTCGGCACTGGGTGCCGGCAACAGCTTTTGGCGTCCCTGGGTGGGCGACGAGGCTGCAATTTAGCCTTGCCCGGACCCCTCCTGGAGGTCGAGAAGTGCGGCGAGAACCGATGCCCAGCGCGCACCGGTGAGTTCATCGGGGGCCTCGGAGGAGACGCGATTTGATCAACCCCAGAGGGCATAACGGTGCAACGCACTCATATAGTGGAGAAGCTGTTGTGGACGGCGGTGAAGAACCGGTCCCTTAGACGTGGGGGAGGAGCAGCTGCAGGCCACGGTGAAGAACCGGACCCTTGGATAAGGTAGGAACCTATTAAAATCCGGATTATATGCTCTGTTGGAACCTGGGGACGCCCAGAGTTACCCTGTAGGTATGGGACAGGGACAGAGCTCAGAGGTTAGGGCACGGTGTACGCCCCTAGAGTGCATTCTAGCAAACTGGAAGGTATTTGGTGCGGATCCGATGACTAAGAGCCAATTAAAACAATTCTGTACAGTTGACTGGCCTCAATATCAACTAGAGGACCAGGAGTGGTGGCCACCAGGAGGGTCAATTAATTACAACACGATCCTTCAGTTACTCCTGTTCTGTCAGAGAACAAGGAAATGGAATGAACATATGTATGCGCATTTGTTTCTGACTTTATGTACTCAACCAGATATTTTACAGCGCTGTAATCTGACTCCGACTGGTTCGGTAGCAGCTAATGTTAGTCCCCAGACCCCCACCCCCACTGTAATGGCAGAGCCGGTGTCCCCTTCGGCCCCTACACCCACACCCACACCTTGTAAGTCCCCCATGGTTGGCCTATACCCCTTAATCACCGAAACTAAAGTCGCCCGGTCTGGATCAGACAGGCGTCCTGCCACAACTATGCAAGTTTACACCCATGTGCCATTCAATCCAATAGACTTAGCAGCTTTTAAAACACAGGCTGGGGAATTCTCAACGAACGCAAGCCGGTTTATTTCGGTCTTTGAGGGGTGCCTCAATAGTCACAAGCCGATTGAGACGACTGTAATATCCTCCTGAGAACCCTGTTGTCTGAGGTGGAGAGGGATCAGGTTACAGCTAAGGCAAGGGGAGCGTCAGCATTCAAGCGAAAAAAAAAGAAAGGAATCTATCTGTCAAGTTCCTCTCCAAATAATTGTAAGCGGCTCAGGGCATTTCTGGGTATGGCAGGCTTTTGCAGGATATGGATCCCAGAGTTTGGACTGTGGGCTAAACCCCTGTATGACTGTGTAAAAGGAGTGGATCATGACCCCTTCTATTGGACCCCAGAGGCTGATAGGGCATTTAAAATCCTGAAAAGAAAATTAATGGAAGCCCCAGCTCTGGACCTGCCGGATCTCTCTAAGCCGTTTCAGTTGTATGTACATGAACGAAGGGGGGTGGCCCTAGGAGTGCTTACACAGCTGTTAGGAGCATGGAGACGTCCTGTGGCTTATTTTTCTAAGCAATTGGATCAGGTTGCAAAGGGTTGGCCGGCATGTTTACGGGCGGTCGCAGCTACTGCCCTATTGCTTGAGGAAGCGGAGAAGCTAACATTGGGAGGGGTTATGCAAATCTATACTCCCCATATGGTCCGAGCCTTATTGGATGCAAAGGGAGGGCTTTGGCTCACCCAGGCTCGGATTGCTCGGTACCAGGCTAAGCTGTTAGAGAACTCTGAAGTCACCCTACAGCCTTGCCCCTCCCTTAACCCAGCCACCCTCTTGCCAGAAACAGAGGAACAGAAACATGACTGTTTAGAGATTACAGATGTCCAGTACTCCAGCCGTCCGGATTTAAAAGATGTACCCCTCCCAAATGCAGATTATGAGTGGTACACTGATGGTAGCAGTACTGTAATAAATGGGCAAAGGAGGGCGGGTTATGCTGTTGTGACCCTCCATGACACTGTGGAAGCTGAAGGTTTGCCTGCTGGGACCTCTGCCCAGCTTGCTGAACTAATAGCCCTGACCCGTGCACTTGAACTGTCAAAAGGAAAGCGGGTCAACATTTTTACTGATTCAAAGTATGCTTTTGGTGTGCTGCATGCTCATGCTGGCCTATGGAAGCAAAGGGGAATGCTGACAGCCCAAGGCTCCCCAGTCAAGTACGGGCCCCAAATCCTCCGGCTCCTAGAAGCCATACAACTCCCCTCGGAAGTGGCGGTGGTACACTGTAAAGCCCATCAAAGGGAGGATCAAGATGTGGCCAGAGGTAACGTCCGGGCAGATAGAGAGGCTAAGCATGCTGCCACCCTGCCATCCCCTCAGGCTGAGAACGCCCATATACATGCCCTTATCCCATCAGTAGGGGAGCTTCCAACCCCTCAGTACTCTGGGGAGGAGAGACAGCTAACTGACAAACTCTGTCTCCGGGAAAAGGAGGGATGGCTCCATTCCCCAGAAGGGAAGGTCCTCTTACCAAAGGGCCTAATCTGGCCAGTGCTGCAGAAACTACATCAAACCACTCATGCTGGCAGGGAAACACTTATCCAGCTAATGGGAAAATACTTTATCACTTCCGGACTCCGACCCCTGGCTGCCCAGGTACAAGCGGACTGCTTAGTCTGCCAAAAGAATAACCCCCGACCGGGACATCCTGTGCCACCAGCTGCCCTAGAACCCACTCCGGGCCCCAGACGGGTGTGGCAAATAGACTTTACTGAGTTTCCCCGGACCCAAGGGTTCAAATATCTCCTTGTTATAGTGGATCGGTTCAGCGGATGGCCAGAAGCCTTCCCATGCCGTAACTGCACTGCCAGGACAGTGGCCCTCAAGTTTGTTAAGGAGATCGTTCCTCGCTTTGGACTCCCCCTGTGGATGGAATCTGACAATGGGACACACTTCACATCAAAAATCATTCAAAGCATCTCACATGCCTTACAGATGCCCTGGAAACTCCATACGCCCTGGAGACCGCAAGCCAGTGGTGTAGTGGAGCGTACCAATCAGACCCTTAAATGGCATCTCTCAAAAGTGTGCCAAGAAGCCTCACTGCGATGGCCTGATGCTTTGCCCCTCGTCCTACTCCATATCCGCGTTCTCCCAAAGGGTAGATTAGGGCGTAGTCCCTTTGAAATTATGTTTGGAAGGGCATGGCCTATGAATGGCACCCCGGTTCTGTCAAAAAAATGGAAGTTGGGTAATGGTTTTTTGTCACAGTATTTGTGTTCCCTGTCTGCTGTTCTCTTGTCTCTTCACAGGTATACCAAGGATTCCCAGCCTCTCCCCTTGGACTCTCCCGTTCACTCCTTACAGCCCGGTGACTCTGTGCTTGTTCGCACCTGGAAAGATGAGCCTCTCCAGGAAAAGTGGAAAGGACCCTATACCGTCCTGCTGACCTCCCATACAGCGGCAAAGATCGAGGGCCACAAGAACTGGATCCATCACTCTCGTCTGAAGGCAGTAACAGCCCCCTCGTCAGCAGAACAGTGGACCGTCCAACCTGCTGACTCCTCATCTAGTGACGATCTCGGGCTAAAGCTACTGTTTAAAAGACACAAATAGTGGGCACCTTAATGCTAAAATGGGCCCACCCAGGTATTGGAGACCCTGGGTTGGGAAGACTCTGGTAATAATTAATTGGGTAACATTGTTATTCTCTGTATTGGTATTTCCAAACTGTGCATATCGGGAGCATAACTCCTTTGTTTTGCTTGCGCACCATGTTGCTAATTTAACAAACCAGACTGATTGCTGGGTATGTGCTCCAACTCCACTATCCCCCAAAACGGGAATGCCCCTTGACATGCTGCCCTTGACCCTAGCAGAATTAGCCACCACCAAAGAGCAGGAAAGAACGAACTCACCGTTCTGGAACAAGACCTCTTTACAGCAGGCCACCTATCAGGACCAGGAGTATTCAGTTGCAGTACTCACTGAGGGAGTGTTATGTTTTACCCGAAACCAATCTGATTCCTATGGGCATCCTGTGGGAAAGAGCTCCTGTGTTATTACACAGTGGGCTGATGGGTATTGGATAAAAACCAACAGGGGAGGCCAGCAGTGTGGGTGTAATGGTTCCTCCCCTTTTAGGGAAACTCTTACAAATAATCTTACCACAAAAAAGGGGTTTGGAAATGTAACTTGCTGTCCAGTTAATATCTCCAATGTAGCAAGCCCAAGTGAGAAAACTCAGAGCCAAGGCTGTTGAGTGTTCTCAAAGGGGGGAGTTGTTGGGAACACTGGGGCATGGCCACTAGGTAACTCGAGGGGATGGAAGACCACGAGTGTCGATGAAGCCCCCTCGCACTAGGCCCCGGTGTCCTTGGCCCCCCTCCTCCTGCCTGGAGGCACTCGCAGCAGCTCTGCGTACTAGGCCCAAGTGTCCTTGGCCCCCCCGTCTGGAGGCACACACAGCAGTTATGCTGAGAATCTGCAACAGTATGTTGCAGAGTCAGACTGCCTGAAACTAAGCAAGGCCAAACAAGGGAGATAGGGAAGAACAATGCTGAATAAAGCAGCTTTATGTATAGTTTAACAAATGATACAGAGAATCAGGGAACTAGCTGGGAACTGGATTGGCTGGCTATATGGATACTTGGGGCAGCTTGCTATTGGATAAGTATGCTGGGAAAAAGGATGTATAAAAGCCTGTGTAACTTCCTGCTCTGTGTGCAGGATTTGAGATTTTATTCTCCCTGTACCTTTTTGCAGCTGCAAATAAACTTTTCTGCTTCTCCACCCCGTTGTGATTATTGGGTGTAGCACACCGGGTAACGAACCACTCAAGCTGTTGTTCAGCCTCTCGGCACTGGGTGCCGGCAACAGTGGGATTCTGCCTGTTCCTAGAGAAGGGCAACAAAGGTGTGACAAGATTATGACTATCAACAGATGGCTTAGGCAGTGGTGCTATAAGGAGGGCTTTGCGGATGTATGGCCACTGGGAGGCATTCATGGACAGAGGACAGTTCTCTCGGGATGGACTTCATCTGAGTAGGGAAGGAAATAGACTTCTAGGATGGAGGCTGGCACAACTGATTAAGAGAGCTTTAAACTAGGAATTTGGGGGAGATGGTTGGGAGATGTCCAGGTAATCTCCACGCCGGATTTTAGCATTGAGAGGGAAGAAAACAAAGTAAGAAAGGATACAATCGTGGGTAGGAGAATGAACATAAGGAGGAATGGCAGTGTGGATACCAGTCTAATAGGTCATACTGGTTGTAGAATGACCATGCCTAATCGGGTACAGAATGTGAGTGAGGCCAAACAGCAAAAATTAAGATGTTTGTACACCAATGCGAGGAGCCTAGGTAACAAAATGGAGGAACTAGAGCTACTGGTGCAGGAAGTGAAACCAGATATTCTAGGGATAACAGAAACATGGTGGAATAGTCGTCATGACTGGACTACAGGTATTGAAGGGTATGTGCTGTTTAGGAAAGACAGAAATAAAGATAAAGGTGGTGGAGAAGCATTGTATATCAATGATGAGGTAGAATGTAAAGAAATAAGAAGCGATGGGATGGATAAGACAGAGTCCGTCTGGGCAAAAATCACACTGGGGAAGAAAACTACTAGAGCCTCCCCTGTGATAGTGCTTGGGGTGTGCTATAGACCGCCGGGATCTAATTTGGATATGGATAGAGCCCTCTTTAATGTTTTTAATGAAGTAAATAATAATGGAAACTGCGTGATCATGGGAGACTAACTTCCCAGATATAGACTGAAGGATGAGTGCTAGTAATAATAATAGGGCTCAGTTTTTCCTAGATGTGATAGCTGATGGATTCCTTCATCAAGCAGTTGCTGAACCAACTGGAGGGGATGCCATTTTAGATTTGGTTTTGGTGAGTAGTGAGGATTTCATAGAAGAAATGGTTGTAGGGGACAATCTTGGTTCAAGTGATCATGAGCTAATTCAGTTCAAACTGAATGGAAGGATAAACAAAAATAAATCTGTGACTAGGGTTTTTGATTTCAAAAGGACTGACTTTCAAAAATTAAGGAAATTAATTCGGGAAGTGGATTGGACTGAAGAATTTATGGATCTAAAGGCAGAGGAGGCTTGGGATTACTTTAAGTCAAAGCTGCAGAAGCTATCGGAAGCCTGCATCCCAAGAAAGGGGAAAAAATTCATAGGTAGGAGTTGTAGACCAAGCTGGATGAGCAAGCATCTCAGAGAGGAGATTAAGAAAAAGCAGAAAGCATACAGGGAGTGGAAGATGGGAGGGATCAGCAAGGAAAGCTACCTTATTGAGGTCAGAACATGTAGGGATAAAGTGAGACAGGCTAAAAGTCAAGTAAAGTTGGACTTTGCAAAGGGAATTAAAACCAATAGTAAAAGGTTCGATAGCCATATAAATAAGAAGAAAGCAAAGAAGGAAGAAGTGGGACTGCTAAACACTGAGGATGGAGTGGAGGTTAAGTATAATCTAGGCATGGCCCAATAGCTAAACAAATACTTTGCCTCAGGTCTTTAATAAGGCTAATGAGGATCTTAGGGATAATGGTAGCATGACAAATGGGAATGAGGATATGGAGGTAGATATTACAATATCTGAGGTAGAAGCGAAACTCGAATAGCTTAATGGGACTAAATCGGGGGGCCCAGATAATCTTCATCCAAGAATATTAAAGGAATTGGCACATGAAATTGCAAGCCCATTAGCAAGTATTTTTAATGAATCCATAAACTCAGGAATTGTACCGTACAATTGGAGAATTGCTAACATAGTTCCTATTTTTAAGAAAGGAAAAAAAAGTGATCCGGATAACTACAGGCCTGTTAGTTTGACATCTGTAGTATGCAAGGTCTTGGAAAAAATTTTGAAGGAGAAAGTAATTAAGGACATTGAGGTCAATGGTAAATGGAACAAAATACAACATGGTTTTACAAAAGGTAGATCGTGCCAAACCAACCTGATCTCCTTCTTTGAAAAAGTAACAGATTTTTTAGACAAAGGAAACGCAGTGGATCTAATTTACCTAGATTTCAGTAAGGCGTTTGATACCGTGCCACATGGGGAATTATTAGTTAAATTGGAAAAGATGGGGATCAATATGAAAATTGAAAGGTGGATAAGGAATTGGTTAACAGGGAGACTACAACGGGTCATACTGAAAGGTGAACTGTCAGGCTGGAGGGAGGTTACCAGTGGAGTTCCTCAGGGATCAGTTTTGGGACCAATCTTATTTAATCTTTTTATTACTGACCTTGGCACAAAAAGTAGGAGTGTGCTAATAAAGTCTGCGGATGATACAAAGCTGGGAGGTATTGCCGATTCAGAGAGAGACCGGGATATCATACAGGAAGATCTGGATGACTTGTAAACTGGAGTAACAGTAATAGGATGAAATTTAATAGTGAGAAGTGTAAGGTTATGCATTTAGGGATTAATAACAAGCATTTTAATTATAAGCTGGGGACACATCAATTAGACGTAACGGAGGAGGAGAAGGACCGTGGAGTATTGGTTGATCACAGGATGACTATGAGCTGCCAATATGACATGGCTGTGAAAAAAGCTAATGCGGTCTTGGGATGCATCAGGCGAGGTATTTCCAGTAGAGATAAGGAGGTTTTAGTACCATTATACAAGGTACTGATGAGACCCCATCTGGAATACTGTGTGCAGTTCTGGTCTCCCATGTTTAAGAAGGATGAATTCAAACTGGAACAGGTACAGAGAAGGGCTACTAGGATGATCCAAGGAATGGAAAACCTGTCATGAAAAGAGACTCAAGGAGCTTGGCTTGTTTAGCCTAACCAAAAGAAGGTTGAGGGGAGATACGATTGCTCTCTATAAATATATCAGAGGAATAAATACTGGAGAGGGAGAGGAATTATTTAAGCTCAGTACCAATGTGGACACAAGAACAAATGGATATAAACTGGTCATCAGGAAGCTTAGACTTGAAATTAGATGAAGGTTTCTAACCATCAGAGTGAAGTTTTGAAATAGCCTTCCAAGGGAAGCAGTGGGGGCAAAAGACCTATCTGGCTTCAAGATTAAACTCGGTAAATTTATGGAGGAGATGGTATGATGGGATAACATGATTTTGGCAATTAATTGATCTTTAAATATTCATGGTAAATAGGCCCAATGGCCTGTGATGGGATGTTAGATGGGGTGGGACCTGAGTTACTACAGAGAATTCTTTCCTGGGTATCTGGCTGGTGAATCTTGCCCATATGCTCAGGGTTCAGCTGATCACCATATTTGGGGTCGGGAAGGAATTTTCCTCCAGGGCAGATTGGAAGAGGCCCTGGAGGTTTTTCGCCTTCCTCTGTAGCATGGGGCTCGGGTCACTTGTTGGAGGATTCTCTGCTTCCTCGGAGTCTTTAAACCATGGTTTGAGGACTTCAATAGCTCAGACATAGGTGAGAGGTTTATTGCAGGAGTGGGTGGGTGAGATTCTGTGGCCTGCGTTGTACAGGAGGTCAGACTAGATGATCATAATGGTCCCTTCTGACCTTAATATCTATGAACTGGCCACACTGGGAGCACCTGGACCTGCTTAATTTAAGCACCCATCCAACCTGTGACATGACTATTATTTTGTGTACAATCCTTCCACCAGTTTTCCATTCATGTGTCAGTATTCCTAGGCACATCTCCATTAAACATTCCAAGTCAGTTTTCAGCTAAGCCAGAGAAGTACACAGTAGCATATGATACCTGTGTATGCCATAGATGCAGAGAAACTGCATATTACACATGTGGTGGTGACATCCATGTAATACTTTGCAAAGCCATGAGAATAAACTGTGAAACCATGCAATGACCTGCTTAACTCACTCACTGCCACTGATAAATAAGGCATACATCCCAGACTCATACCAATTAAACTTTTACATCATACTATTTTGTATTCTCTCACTATATATAGGAATCTCTAGCTGGTGTGGGTCTGATCCAGTATGGCAACTCCTGCATTCCTACACCAATGAGAATGCATAACTAACTGAAACAAGGACATAGTCTTATTGATGTAACCCTTGTGCTTTCATTACCTTCCTATCTGCCTTCACTTATTATCCATTGTCTATATTCACATTGTAAATTCCTCAGGGCATTGACCAAGTCTTTTACACATTCTGTGAAGTGTCTTCAGCACACTTCAGGAGCTGTATTAATAATTTAATATTAATCATAATTACTAATGATGATGAAGTCTTGGCATAAAAGCGGTCTCTTGCTACATAAAACCCTAAAGAGATAATGCTACAGGAAAAATGTACCAAAGTCATGCCATTTACTCTTTGGTCTTTGTAGGTATTTAAGGAATTGGTCCAAGTCACTCACCTGCTCCACAAGGAACAAGCTTTGCTTTGCCATTAGTGTGAGCTGTCTGAATTGCATGGCGGCTATGTTTAAACTGAAGATTTGACTGCAACATTTTCACCTCCTGAACATGGAAACCATCTGGTAAAAATGAGATGTGCTGACACCTACAGTAGATATAGAGAAATGCAAGTCACTGAAAGTCTCCTTCAACAGACTCCCAGGTACAACCCTGCAACCTCCACTTCATGAAACTGAAATGCTACGAAGTCAGCACAGATACAAGGAAATACTTTACCAAGCAACTTTTGTTTGATCTGTGGAACTCTGTGCCTCATGACATTGAAAAACCAAATAGCTTAGTAAAGCCTTATCTATACCAATTTCATTTGAAGAGAGATCTAATTATACTGGTGCAAACACCTAATGTAGACAACTTAAGGTAAATCAAATAAGCAAGAATTAAAAAGTTTAAATATGCACAATTTGCAACAGTTAGCTATCCTTGGAGACTTGGCATCCACCACTTACGTTGACAGACTATTCCACAACCTAATACAAACAACTTCCTAGTTAGGAGCTGTATCACATATCCCCAGAATAAAACCAGGAGTAATGTAATTAAATTAAGAAAAGGACAAATCATATTCCTTATTTTAAACATCTCTTATGTTGTAAGGTACAGAGCGAGTGAGGAAAGGTCTCCACCAGAATCCATGACTCATTCATTGTGCATTTTGTAACTAAAATTATTTTCCTGGACTGTCTGGCATACACAGACTGGAACACAGTACCAGAAGATACACATACTATGTATCTAAGATTGTAAGCAAAAACTGTAGTACACTATATTATTCCTGAGGGAATTCCATGCCAAAAAAAAAATTAAAAAATTCGGCACACAATATTTTAAAATTCTGCAGATTTTGTCAATAAATAAATGTAGAGGCTCCCACATAAAATGTGATCATCTAAGACCGTATCAGAATGCCGCTGCACAAAAAGGCAAAATTAAGGTAGCATGGCCAACCTTAATTTTCGCATTTCCGAACTTTTGAGAGCTTAATGATCTTTTAATGTTTTTTTTTTTAAATGAAATTTCCTAGAATTTGTAAAAAGAAAACTGAAGAAACAGAAATTTTATCGTATAGAATCATACTGATCCCTGCATGGGCAATCATCAGGACATTTAAATCCACCGACCTCTGCCAGTTAAATTAAAGGAGTAATTGATAGCAGTAGTATATTGTTATCCTCTATATTTTAAAAGAAAATTGATATATCTAAATTTGGCCTTCCCTGGTTTTGCTGGAGAGCCACTGTGGAGGCTCAAGTATGTATCATGTGCTCTGATAGCTTAACTGAAGGGAAGCTGGATAGGTTTTGAACCAAACAAAAACCCTAAATGTTCAATGGTCTTAAGATTTTTAAAAGGTATTAACAAAAACATCTTAAACAGTTATAAACAGTCTAACTAAAAATCTTCCCCTCTCAGCTGCAGCACTGTCATGTGTGACACAATGTCACTGGATCTACAGTCACCAGGGAATCTTCCTGGGTAGACAAGTCCTGAATTTCAAATGTAAAAAGCAAGTAGGAAAAAAAAACAACTTTATTTTGATAAAATTCTTGCAGGCCCTTCTCTGTACCTCATAAAAAAAAAGTGCAAACCCAATATCAATCTCAGTAGGTCCCTTTTAAGAAAGGGCCAAAGCGACAGATTTGAGAGTACTGGGAGCAATATCAGAAGAAAAGGAACGATTGTTGTGATTGCCATAATGTGAAAAGGAAGTGAGGGGGAAGGGAGAGCAGGGATCGAAGAGAAAAGGAGGTTATTTTCTTGAAGGACTGCATGATGATAGGGGGATTAGGAGTAGATCAAAGGATTAAGAACAGCAAGAGTTAGAAAACCGAGAAGTGTTTCCTGGAGACCACCAAATTCTTATTATTGATTCACCAGGAGCATCACCTTCCCTCTAAGTCACACATGGCTGCTTTATCACTTTGATCTCTCTTCTGATTGTCTGACTGAGCACTGCAAACTTTCTAATGCTCATGCTCTCCATGACTCAGTCTTGGTACGCTCTTCCTGGTCTTCTATGGGTCATGTACCTTTCAATAACTGCTCTCCGCATGACTTCTTGGCTATATGGGCATTTCCCCACTACAACTGCTGAGAGATATACCGGGTGCTGTAGGAAATGCATCAAGAGGGCTCCTTGACAGCCCAGTACATTCCAGCGAGCTAGTTTATCACTGCAGGACATGGAGCAGGTCCTGTCTCCACGGCCTGGCTTCACTCGTAGTAACCCAACATGATGATATTCTACCCCAGGTCTCCGAGCATCATCCCTCTCTCCCAGCACACACTTTGCTCCAGTTCTATAAACATCCATCACTTTGGCTCCTATTAGTCCAGTCTCCTTAGCACACGTTAAGATCTGTCTTTGTCCACCTGTAATAAATTCAGAGCAGCTGGGATCTGTGTCTTGTACATTTTGTTGATTGCCAGGAACATACTGATCAGCTATTCTTTCAGTGACCTCACATGTAGAATCACTGATGACAGTTTTCATTCTCTTGATCACATGATCACTTGCAGTTTCCTCTGTTTTCCTTTTATTTTCTGGACCCACAGGATCATGGTTGCCACTGCACTCAGCTGAATGCCTTCTTGGATCTTTTCTACTAACCAGCTCACAAGGCTGGTCCTCTGGTTTGGTCATTGGAATAATGGAGGCATCCCCACCTAGAAGAAAGGAAGTTACATTAGCACTGGCCTGGAAAGAGATTTCTGTTTGTCCTTGCCATTTAATGCAGACCCCTTCATAGATAGGGCAACCACCATGCGTTTTTAAAGATTTGAACTAAAAAAAATGTACCTGAAGTACCAGGGAGAATAAGCTCTTCAAATAACACTGTACTGTACTTTAGTTAGACTTGAACGAGAATTCAGACGTGGTTTACATTTAATTCAAGTAGCCCTCACATGCCTCCAGCAATGGACCTCACGCCTATCCTGAAGGAACCAACTCTGTTTCACAAGGTAAGAACTAAATTCAGGTTCCATATGTGTTCAGTCAGTGGGTACTTTCATTGTTCCATTAATTCACATGCAAAAAACTTTGTTAACCTGAAGTAAAGACTGCAGATGCTCACTATTGCCCTGTGCTTCTTGTACTCTTCCACAATGGGAGATTTTCAATTCCCAAAACTCCACTGTTGACCAACCAGAAAATGAGGATTACTGTCCCCTTACAAGAAGATTAACGTTACAAGAAACAAAACACAAAGGTTGGAAAGAATTGGGACAAAGCTTTTGAAAATCTCACCCTAAAATTAACTACTCTAAGAAGTTAGCTGAAGTAATGAAAAAAGAAAGTTTCCTATGACACCAATGATGAAAATATAACTTTCTTACTGAGCAATCTAGAACTCTGGAAAGGAAAGAGGAACAGGTAGAGTCATTTGTGGCAAGGACATGGCTAGAATCAACTATCATGTTGAAAAGAGGGGAATAGATGGAATTGTGAGCTGTTTGGGTGTTTATTTGATAGAATATAGAAATTTCTGGAAGGTGGGCAGGACAGCTGATAAGATGATTATATTTAACTAAGTAGCTCATCGTATATTTTTTTTTTTAAAGTCTTCACAAGATTCAGTCCACAAGGTGGTTATTTCTTATTCTAAGTGTAGAAATGTGAAAGCTACCAATCAATACGGCAAACAAGTGATTAGCAATCAGTGATTAACATCAGCATTTATCTGATTCAGTATGCTTGAAGTTGAAGTGACAGGAAGCAAGTGACTGAAGTAATGAAAACATGAATTCTAAAATAAAATATTAATATCAAGGGTTAAATATCGAAAAAGAAAAGATGTGTGCTCATCTCAGAAGCGTAGACAATCCATTTTTGTCCATGTATTTCAAGATCAAATGTGCCACTGAATAGAGCTGTCTAATTAAGCAGAAGCGCAGAACAGTTATGAGTATGCCACTGCCATCCTCGAAACGTAGCCATGATGATAATTTGAGGTCTCTGGTTCTAGGCTTTCCATCAACTCTTCAACATCAGTTTTTGTTAGTTTGGCACTCAAATAGTAAACTTCAGTCAGAAATTATTAAACTGAAACAACGGAAAGACCAAGATTTAAACTCAGTAAGAAAGTTGCAACTCTCTTTTATGTTAACAATATCACCTTTAGTGTAGCACAAAATAAGCCATAAAAAGAAAGAAATAAAGCATTGTGCCCTAGATAGTCTTCTCCAGACAGATTTAAACTCACATGTACACTAATAGAGGTTGTAAATGAAGAAACAGAGGAAAAATTAAATATCAGTTCCCACAGGAATCAAGATAAATACTTAATGCTAGGTGACTCATCAAGCATGAGAAATGATATGATGTGCGTACACATCTATATAGGGGAAATTGCATTCCTGATTAATGCTAATGATCTTATATCTGAATCCCACCCCCTAGCAAAACACTGTGTCCAAGTTGCTGAAAATACCACCCAAAAATGCAGTGAAAAGAATGACAAGGAGATCTTCGCCATTTCCTTAAAAGAAACTAAAATGGAAAAGATTAGAAAACTTCTCAGCTTTGATCATCTCATACGTCTGGCACATTAGTGTTCAGCAACTATTTAAACCATATGGAGAAAGCAGTTACATCAATGGCATGATTAGTTGATTAAAAAATTATGACTGACACACCCCAATTTTGCAATGATACATGCTGGAACTCTCAGGAAGATTGTGTGTTTCCATTTGCTTCCAGCTACCATGAGAATGTTGCAATTTGCACTGAACAGAGCAGAGACAGATCAAAACAATAACATTCAATTACAAGAATAACTGAAGGAGTTATTGGAGAGTCTTGACAGATTGCAGACTGATGACAGTATTGTTGCAGTCTCAGTGGAAATCTGACTTGATCTAATTTACAAAGAAATGGAACCACACAAGGACAAAAGAAATAAAATAATAATAATAATAATAATAATGAAAAACTCCCATGAGGAGCGATAGAACCTTTCTACAGCTTAGCTAAAATGACTGATCCCAAATACAAAGTTCAGGGTTGAGCCTAATGTGACACTGAACGGGATATGGAAACACTGATAATATTATCATCAATGTTATAAAATTGCAACGAATCGTGCCAGATATGCCGTGTAAGGTGTCAGTAAAAATTTTATGATTTGCCAAGTATGATAATCTTATTTATATATTTGTTATACCTTTGTATTGTGTTATAAATATGTATGGTACATCTGTATTTCCAAACTTGTGCTGTGTTTCTGGGTGACACCCCAGACAGATTGGCATCAGCACCACCTAGCCAAGGATGGGCAAACTACGGCCCGGGGGCCACATCCAGCCCTTCAGACGTTTTAATCCGGCCCTCGAGCTCCCGCTGCAAAGCGGGGTTGGGGGCTTGCCCCATTCTGCGTGTGCTGTGGCTCCCAGAAGCAGCGGCATGTCTCCCCTTCAGCTCCTATGTGTAAGGGCTGCCAGGGGGCTCCACATGCTGCCCCTCCCCCAAGCGCCACCCCCACAGCTCCCACTGGGGTGGCTCATGTGTTCTTGCCTGGAGTCAGCAAGTTAGTGATAGGTGTGTGAGTACTGGCTGTGTTTTAAAGCACTCAATCAGTGTTGTGTGTGTTGCAAACAATACTGCTTCTTTAAACTGTCGCATTTAAACTTCACAGAGATGACCTTCGGAGCCCAGCTTCCCTGTTATTGGCGGCAGAATGGCTGGGCAGAATTAGAAAGCGGCCAAGAAGAACTAAGGAGGACTTTCTGTGAGAGGTTATGATGTACTCTGCTGCCGAAAAACAGGAATTGAAGGAGTGGCGGGACAGTGAGAAGAGGGACTGAAAGGAGAACACAGCATGCCAGAAAGAAGCCACAGAGCGGCTCTTAAATGTTATTGAGTGCCAAGAAGACATGCTCCAGGCAATACTAGCTCTTCAAACTGAGCAGCTATGCACCCACCCTCCCCTGCAGCCGCTGTCACAAAATTCTTTCCCATGCACCCCACAGACACTGCCAACACACTCTTATCAACCTGCTGGCTCCAGTCTCTACCGGCAGCATTCCACTCCTCCCTCCTCACAGTCCAGCACTGTGGACTCCCACTACCCACACCCATCCCTCTGCAGTTTGGCCCTACTGAAGTACAGTACCCACTGCATTGTACTCCAAAGGAGAAGGCTGGATATGATCCCTGGACATACACAAATCTTTAGCCATCCTGGGACCCCTCCTCCTCCTGGGACCTTCCCTTCCCCATCCCTGCTGACATATTTTTTCATTTGGACTCTCTCCTCTGGTTGTTTGCTTTAAAACCTACACAGTTCTTTTATTAAAAGACATCTTTTATTCTATTAACTGAAAGCAAAACGAGCTCTGCAAAGCAACATACAATTATGTTAAACCCCCTTATTGCATCGTGTGCACCGATCACCTCCTAGCATTACAAGCACTACAATCCCAAGCATAGCAACAAATAGTGGCTTTCAGCTTCAGATTGCTTCCTCAAGGCATCCCTGATCCTTATGTCCCTGCGCTGTGTCCCTCTAAAAGCCCTGTTCTCTGGCAGTTCAAACTCAACCTCCAGGCGCTGAGCCTCTGCGGTTCAGCCCTGAGTGAAGCTTTCACCCTTCCCTTCACAAATATTATGGAGCATACAGCATACGGCTATAAGCATAGGAATACTGTTATCGGCCAGGTCCAGCTTCCTACAGAGGCAGCACCAGTGGGCTTTTAAATGGCCAAAAGCACACTCAACAGTCATTCTGCACTTGCTCAGCCTGTTAAACAGTTGCCCCATGTATGGCTTCATAAGCCATGGCATTAAGGAGTAAGCGGGGTCTCCCAGGATCACAGTGGGTATTTTGACTTCCCCTATGATGATCTTCTGGTCTGGGAAGAAAGTTCCTGCTTGCAGCTTCTTGAACAGGCCACCTTTCCAGACTGCGTTAATGTCTGAGATGAGAGGAAAGTGATCAGGAACAGCCAGCATGGATTCACCAAGGGAAGGTCATGCCTGACTAATCTAATCGCCTTTTATGATGAGATTACTGGTTCTGTGGATGAAGGGAAAGCAGTGGATGTATTGTTTCTTGACTTTAGCAAAGCTTTTGACACGGTCTCCCACAGTATTCTTGTCAGCAAGTTAAGGAAGTATGGGCTGGATGAATGCACTATAAGGTGGGTAGAAAGCTGGCTAGATTGTCGGGCTCAACGGGTAGTGATCAATGGCTCCATGTCTAGTTGGCAGCCGGTATCAAGTGGAGTGCCCCAAGGGTCGGTCCTGGGGCCGGTTTTGTTCAATATCTTCATAAATGATCTGGAGGATGGTGTGGATTGCACTCTCAGCAAATTTGCAGATGATACTAAACTGGGAGGAGTGGTAGATACGCTGGAGGGGAGGGATAGGATACAGAAGGACCTAGACAAATTGGAGGACTGGGCCAAAAGAAATCTGATGAGGTTCAATAAGGATAAGTGCAGGGTCCTGCACTTAGGACGGAAGAACCCAATGCACAGCTACAGACTAGGGACCGAATGGCTAGGCAGCAGTTCTGCGGAAAAGGACCTAGGGGTGACAGTGGACGAGAAGCGGGATATGAGTCAGCAGTGTGCCCTTGTTGCCAAGAAGGCCAATGGCATTTTGGGATGTATAAGTAGGGGCATAGCGAGCAGATCGAGGGACGTGATCGTTCCCCTCTATTCGA